TACTCGTTTGAGGCCGAGTCGACCTAGGGGAGGCCCAGGACCGGTTCAAGTAATCGTCACCAGTGGTGGCCGTGAGTGGGAATCGAACTCGGGTCGACGGATTTGTAGCGCAGCGCGCTAACCACTACACCACCGCTCCCCCCACACATACACACACGCGCGCGCGTCCATAGGTACACATACACGCGCTTGCTGCAGACACACACAACTTTCAGGCTGCGTACGGCAGTAAACGGCTCAAATAATAAAGCAGCAATGCTGCGCGAAGAACGCCTTAGACCTGCAACGCATTTGTATGGCACTTTACTCGCGGAGGGTTCGGGGAGGGATGCGTGACATCAGCAGGCACACTGCGTGACGCTTCCGCATGCGGGTGACATCACAGAAGTGACGTCACAGCTCACTTGTCGTGCAAAATATATCCATTATTGCGCCCCCCCCCCCCTTCCCCTCCCCAAAAATGCAAAAGTTTATTTTTATACTTTTTGCATGGTGTACAGTCTGGAAACTACCCACATGCCCAATTTCAAGTTTGTTGCATGTCGGGAAGTATGCTAAACATTTCGAACAGACACACATATTCACACATTTCCTTTTTATACATATAGAATAAGATAAGCGCACAACTGTATCTATCTGTGATGAACGCTGCACTTTCCGTCGTTTTCATGCAGGGGGCGCTGCAAACTTACGCGGCCCCTGCATGAACGACGGAGTCGCAGGGACAGACGTTCGATTACGTAGGAATCGATCTGCAGACGGCGGTCTTCTCGCACGGCCAACAGCTCCGTGTCACCTTATCTCGATCCCGCAATCCACAACGGGTGAAAGTCCGCATCGAACCGAACCCCCACCAAGGCCATCGACTTAACGACGAGAGAAAATTCACACGAAATATCCTTTTCAATGAAGTCTTCCGGATGTAAAATGAGAAAAAGCTTCTAATGAAGAAATACAATTATCTCATTCAAAACATAATACAATTCAAAGATGTTTCATTTTAAAACTTCAAAACGGAGCATCGGGTGCTTGCGTCAATGCGTCGTTCGTGTGCAACTTTTTTCGTGATTTTCCTGGCCGAATGCCGTAAATGGTTATGAGGGGGCGTCATAAGCGCCCCCAAACAACCCATAGTTTGTAATAGTCATTCATAAACAGCGTCTGGAACTCGGTGAGTGTAGGCCCTAACTAGAACGAGTTATATTCGAGGTGGCTGTGGTGTTTGTGTTTTATACGTGTGCTTGCGTGCATGTGTGTTGGGGCCGTTGATGAGCATCGTACATGCCAGTGCGCACGTGATCGTCTCTGTGCGCCACACCGGCCTGAAGTGAAGACCGAGACTCGTTTGTGTAACCAGGTGAGGACCGCCAAAGAGACCAGGGATGGGAGCCTCATTTTGCAAGAGCGACCTAAGGAGCATTAGTCTGCTGCTAGCAGGGGGCGACGTTTGCCGCTGTATGTGTAATCCCAATTGAGTGATTGGCAGTGTAAGGGTTTTTGTTTTTCACCCTGATGCCTGCACACAATGGCCTGCTCTTACGAATGACGTCAGGGGGATCTTTCTTCTTGTTATTCTTCTTGTTGTTCTTCTTGTTCTTATTCTTCCCCAGTACGGCTACCGATGTAGATGCAGAGCAACAACGCCAATGTCACATTGTTACGCTGGTCAAGCCACAGACAAGGCGCGTCAGGAGCAAGCGGAGTTGTTATCGCTGTGATGCCTCCTCCTTCGCCTGCGTGGGTCATCAACGCCCGCTGTGAAGCAGACGGCGCGTAGGTGTTTACGAAGGTTTACTACGCGAACCGCAGTAGTAAAACCTAAGGTCCTCCCTGAAGCGCCGACAAAATCAGCCTTCAAGACTGGGAGCAGCGGCGGGCGATGCCGACCGCCTAGGGGTGGCGCCGCTGCATCCACCGGGTTGCGGGTCCACGTCAAGACCCAAACGTCTCCCACTTCCGCCTGGGACCGCGTGGCGCCCACATCGCACAAAGATCTGCAGGATACACAATTGGACTTCTCAGCCACTTCAAGAGCCACCGCTAGACCTGATCGACGTCATCCTCGAACCTCGAGGGACTGCCGACGACGAGTAACCAGGGCGGCCGCTGGATTCGAACCGCGAAGCTCAGCAACAAGATGCAAACGCGCCACGTTCGAGATCCCATGACGCCACCGCAACAGTTACGCCGTTTGCCACGTTTTGAATCATTCACTTGGAATATACAAGGCGAGCGGCGACCCCCCCCCCCACACCCGGTACTGGGTAAAAACGTGGCCGGGCCCTCCTGAAAAGGTGTCATGAGACTCAGTGAAACTATCCTGGGTCAACAAGCGTGATAAAAAAGAGATATATATAAAAACAATTTAAGCCACTGAGTTAACATTTGTGAATTTCTCGGTGGGACAATTATTCATAATACTGTAGAGGTTTTTTGGGTTATTCTTCAGATGTGTACACGAGGTGGCCCACCCATTAATGGGGGTTGCTCATTTTCGAGCCACTTCAAAGCCACATTCATCACCTGTTGCCCCACTTTTGTTGTAGACACACCGTGTGCGTTCGCGTTTACTCGCCAAATGCGTCCATGTACGCACGCGTACGCCCACGTGCACCCACGATACATGTGCAGGAATATCCATGTCCACCCACGATCACCCATGCATGTGCAGGAATATCCATGTACACTCATGAACACCCATGTCCACCCACGATCACCCATGCATGTGCAAGAATATCCATGTACACCCATGAACACCCACGTATGCCCATGATCACCCACGTACGCCCATGAACACCCACGTACACCCACGAACACCCATGTACACACATGTACACCCATGAACACCCACGAACACCCCAAGGATGCGCGCGGATGTACGCGAGTTAAACCCGACGAGTTGAACCAATAAATCCCTTGGCCAATTGGCTGCGTGAAATCGGTGTCCTGTGCGCTCCCAGAGGGCCGTGTGTGAGAGAGGCATTTTTGTGCGATTTTTTTGTGTGTGTGTGTGTACGTGCAGGGACAGATATAATACAGTACGCATGGGGAGGATTTTGTTACTGTATCGTGCTGCGTGTTGGTTGTGTAACTTCCTCTGCTGCGAGATGACCGGGAGGTGAGATGGATGAGATTGGGGGGGGGGAGAGGGAGGAGAGGTCACGTGGTGTTCCAAGGAATGTTTCTTGTTCAGAGAAAGTATTTGGCCATGCTCCGTTTGGCAAGGGGGTGCACAAACACATGCAGCAACAACAACAAACCGCAACACGTGCAGTCAATAACAGCGTGGCCTTAAGATAACAGTGTATTATATAGTGGGCGACGTTTCGGCCAATGGGTCTTCTTCACAGCACCATAGGCCAGAGAGGGAGTAGAGTGGCCTCAACGGCGTGCCGTGAAGAAGGGCCACCCCACCGCCCGAACCGTCGTCAATTATACACGCCTTCTTTTTAAGGCCACGGCGTTACTGGCCGAACGCGTTGAGTACTTTTTTGTTCGTGTTTTCGACGAGGCGGGGTAGATACACGTGGGAGGGGAAGGGGGAGAGTGGGATGCGGGTTGGAAGGGAAGTGAATCTTGATCAGGAATACAGTTCTTGAATTGAGGGAAGCGAAAGTGGAAATGCTGACGCCACTGACTGCATGCGTGCCCGAGGAGATGCACACGTGCCAGTGTGCAGATACGTTTGTGTGCGTGCGTGCGTGCCAGCCATGTCAGTTTATTTATTCGGTATAGCCCTGTGAGCCATGTGGCTCTTGGCTCGGGTGCAATCGCAACAATAAAAAAAACGTACACAGAACATCTTAAAATGACGACACTCCACAGAAACATCCACGATCAAAACCAGCAAAATCTTGCTGAAGAAAAAAAACACACCGTGTCAATAAGGCTGTGTGCAAAAATCACAATGGGATTTAAGTTACAAAAAAGAACAACCAAAAGACAATTTAGGTTAACGTCATCAGGTTAACTCAGTACTTCAACAAACAAACCATGGCTTAACCGTACGTTTTTGAAATTAGCTAAATAAAACTATAAAAACAATGTAGCAACGGTGATCATAGGAACTGTGATTCAAATTTAACATGAGCCCTCTTCAGCAGTTTTTTCTCGCTGTGGCTGTCCCACCTGATGACGATAGCTTGTTGCGCCCGAAACGTCGTGATCTATTATTTTTCTACCTACGTGACTTTACCGAAAGAACCAAAGAGTATAGATATACATAACGTGTAGACACGCAAAAAACCGTTGTAGCCATAGGGGCCGTCCATAAATGACGTCACGCACCTATGGGGGAGGGGTGTCAGACATTTGTGACGATGTGTGACGAGGGGGGGGGGGGTTGAGAAATGTGACGTCACGTCAAAATGCGCAACTTTAAATAAATATCGACAACACGTTCTACTTAATTAAATAGACTTTTTAATAAATGTTTTCTCCTACAACATCAGAGTGCAGCGCCACATTAAATACGCACTACAATGACAATAGTTTACAGCGATTTGAAGCATGTTTTATTTGGGGGGTGGGGCAGAGCTTTGTGACGTCATATTTGAGGAGGGGGGGGGTCCGTCTTCTTGTGACGCCGTGTGACGAGGGGGGGGGTGGTCAAGAATCTTCCAAAATCGCGTGACGTCATTTATGGACGGCCCCACAGCCACCAGCAGCAGGACGGCGTGGGTCACTCGCTCCATGCCCGACCCACGCTTGCGGGCAACGGGAGCTCTCCGCCTTTTCGATTGCAACACAAGCAATAATCATCGGGTATAAAAGAAATAGCAACAAAAATCTAACCAGAAAACTATAGATAAAAGAAATAGCAACTATTTGTTGCTATTATTTAATTTATTACTTTATCATTATACGTGACTTTACCGAAAAAAAACAAAGAGTCATTCCTGCGGTCACGAAAGCTCCAAATTAAGATGTAATCTCCCCTCCGCCGTCGATGCCACGTCGCCCTCTACCGACGGACCGATCATCACGAGACTCGGCACGGCACGCACGACGCTCCGGGCGTTCGTGGTGCAACACTGCCCCGGCCGTGTGACATCACAGGAAGCGTGCATTTGGGGGGGGGTGGGGATAGACCCCGAGAGAGGGGTCACCTCTGGTCCCGCGCCGCCACCACCATCCTCATCATCATCCTCGTCGTCGACGTTAACTGCGGCCGCCGATTCAGGAGCTCAGCTATGGGGGAGGGGGCAGCCGTGCCCGCAGGGAGGTTGCCCATCGCTTCTTCCTCCTCCTCTTCGTCGTCGTCGGCTTCGCTTCACCCCCTGGTGGCAAAGTTCGCGCTGTCAGCCTGTGCCGCGGCCGTGGCCGAGATAGGTGCGGAGTGGCGGTGTTGTTCACGGCTGGGTGCTCTGCTTGCATGGCTGTCATTGCACGCGCTTCGAATCGATTATCCGCAAAGTTCGCAGATAGCGGGGCACGCGGTCCTGGCTGTGTGGCCGAGATAGGCGCTCTGCTGGGTTGACAGCTTTGGTGCATGACCACGATTGCATGGGCCAATTGCTTTTTCAGGGCGCCACTGTGGCGAGATGTTAACTACCTCGCTCGGTATACAGGAGGTCGTGGGTTCGATCCCAGACCCAGACAAACCTGGGTGTTTGGAATATGCATGTCGCTCCCGCCGTGGTCGCGTGGATTTTTCTCCGGGTCTTTCGGTGTTTCCCCTTCCACGTTTAGAAAGGCGCGTTTAGAGCGGTTTGGCTGCTATAAATGTCCACACGATGATAAGCCACTTCGTTGAGCTATCATTTTCGATATCCAGGTCGCTTCTGAAAAATAGATATATATGGCTCAGTGGAGCCTTACCTGGTAAAATAGAAAAAAATATTGAGTTTTTTAGTGATGCTGTTGTTGTACGGAGTGGTTTAGACATATGTGCTGCATTGCATGGCCAATGTTCTTTAGCATCGGTTTTTTTTTGTGTTAATCCGTGTTTGGAAATATTGTACTGCAGAGCAGCTGTGGCTGAGATGGATGGACGTGATTTGGCTCCTGACGCTGCTGCGTGGCCTTATAGTTGCACACGTGTCAATGTCCTCGTCCCCAACTTCATAAATAACCCCGTCAACACGCAACAGTGGGCCAGCTCTTGTTGACGTTCGGGCGACGTCCACCAACCGACGTCGGCTCAACGTTGCATGTTTACTGCGAATAGATTGTCGAGCGGGTTAATCATTTCACGGCTATAGGCGTAAGTGTGTACGTCGGTGGCGTGATTATCTAGCAATGCGCGCTGTACTCTGGACCCGGCCACTCGAGTTCAATCCCAGACCACGGCTAACGCCAGTGGCGGGTGAAATCTGACCCGGGACAGTCATTTCCCCCGCCCCCACTCCATCCAAAACAAAAAAAAACTCAAGCCACGCCAACAACCCGCAATAAGCAGCGTGGCTAAGTGTGGTCAAACAATCCCCACGATTATTATTGTTATTCTTAGGTTTTGTCGGTAAAGTCACGTAGGTAAAAATTTGTAATTAATAAAAGTGAAATAAAATACAAATAAAAATTACGACGTTTCGATTGCAACACAAGCAATCATCATCAGGTATAAATGAAATAGCAACAAAAATTCTAACCAGAAAAGCTTCAAATCTAGAATTATTATTGTTGTTTTCTTCTCTCCCCAAGCATTTGTTGCAGTGTAGTTGCTGTGTTTTGAAATGTTATCGCAGAGTCTTATGCTATTCTGTGTACCTACGGTGAGCATGAATATGACGGTCCATAAATGTTGCCTCGATACAGTGGACTCCACATTAGCCTTGCCAATGTTGCATTATAATCAAAGCAACTTTAGGACAGTCTATATCGCACAACATGCAACCATAAGTCAGAGGACCCAAGTTCGAATCCAGTCGATGTGAATGTATGCACGCAGGCCTCCTGACCATGGGTGTAGTGGTCACGAGTTGACCAGGCGGAGCGGGGGGGCCGTGTAGGACCTCCGCAATCTGTCTGAACTAAACTAAAAACTAAACTTGTTTTTATTGTACCAGCTACTGCATAGCTCTTGTTCAGAAGCGACCTGGCTATCACTAATGAGAGCTCAACGAAGTGGCTTATCATCGTGTGGAAATGTATGGCGTTGATTCTAAATGTGGAGGGAAAAACCGGAGGACCCGGAAAAAAATCAACACGGGAGGAGAGACACGCAAACTCCAAATATACAGCAGCAGCAAGCGTCAGAGTCGGCATCGAACCCACGACCTCCCGTATACCAGGCGAGGTCGTTAACATCTCCTAGCCACCACGGCACCCCTAACGGATCTCATCATCAGCTGGGTCCGGCTTGCTAAACATTCTGTTGAATCACGTTGGTGTTGGAAAACCAATAGGCCAACGGCTAAAACGCGTTTGTGAACACGCGGAGATGGAGCTCTGCTCGCGTTTGTCGCCTACGACGATCCACTACGACGGAAACGTCTAGTCGAGGGAGTCAACATCTCGCCCGCGCGTCTCCCACTCTCCCTCTGCCCAACTCTCTCTGCGTCTCTCTCTACCCCCCGGTCCGACAGTGACGTTCCCCCTCGACCTGACCAAGACGAGGTTGCAGATCCAGGGAGAGGCGCGGTCCGGTCCGGGTGGCGTGGAGTACCGAGGCATGGTGGGCACGGCGGTGGGCATCGCCAGAGAGGAGGGTGCCCTCAAGCTGTGGCAGGGAGCGACGCCGGCGGTGTGCCGGCACATCGGTAGCAAGGGGCCCACCGGAGCACCAGCCCACGCAGACCACCGCTGCCTGTAGCACTAACACGTGGCACTAACACGGTGGCACTAACACGGTAGCACACGCAGCAGCAACATCGCCCCCCCCCCCCCCCCTTCTACTGCGAACCCCTGGCAGGTGTCTCCTGAACACAGAGCCTTGAGACTCAGGGAGGCCTCCCTGGGTAAAACAATACTATTATAATCATTCTCATACCGTTCTCCTCTCCCCCCCGTTACCCCTGTTACACCTGTTACCCCAGTGTACACGGGGGGCCGCATGGTGGCCTACGAACAGCTGCGAGAACGCGTTCTGCTGCGCAGCGCGGACGGCACCTTCCCAGTCTGGTTTGTCCCGACGCTCCTCGTGAAACCCGCACGCACGCACGCTGTCGACCGCGAACGCCTCGCATTCACCGTGCACGCCCGACACCGCGACGAAGGGCGATCAAAATCCCGCCGTGGTCGCGAAACCGCCGCCGGCGAAATGTTCCCTCCGGTGGTTTTTATTCCGGCGGTGGCGGCAACGGCGGCGGCGGCGGTAGCGCGCGCCGGTCGCTGGCGGTGAGCGCTCGCGGCGCAGAACGAACGGTCGCCGGGGTACGGCGACGGTTCGGCCGTTTCGTGAAGATTGCGCTCCAGGACCCTTGCGAAGCTCGCGTGCCCATTGGCACCGCAGATGCCCGGCTCGCTCGCCGTCGCCCGAGATGGCCCCAAACGTTCAATAGACCGCGCTCATTCGGGGCTCGCTCGTGCCGTTATCGGCTGCTCCTCGCTCGTCGAGGGTCGGCGAATCGGTGCCCAAGCGAACCGATGACTCTACGAAGCAATCTACACACGCAGACGCGTTCTACACGTTCACCACCGTGCTACGTAGGTGAATAATAAACACGCTGCCTGAGCACAATTCACCACGTCAAAAACGTTATTCGCGTGCGTTTTATGCGGGCCACCCCTCCGCCCCATCACCCCAGGTAATCCAGAGTCAACCGCATTACACACGATCGCACTATCGACAATCCTCACAACTAAAATGCACTAATTGGACACAATCGTGAGAATCGTTCTTCAACTTTACCGGTGAGCTGAGCCGAAACGATCGTAACCCGGCGGCGCCGTTTAACGCTTGTGCGCCACTCGGCAAATTTAATTTCTTTGGGCTGTGTTGGATGGTGGAGGGTTTTCAACAACGCAAGTCTCGCCAGATCGTCACGTTATGGACCGATCCCCCAAAAATATATATACATAGCAGTTACGATTCATGATATTGCAAGCGAAAGCTTACGTATGGATGTATGTTGAATTTCTTTCGCACCGTACGTTACCAACCGTGCGAATGCCACCATTCACTAAATCAATGCATGAACGTGGGAACAAACTTTCAGTGGTTTCCCACCTACATGACATGCGGGACATCTCTCGTCTGCTGCTTGTGATTCTTAATATTATTATAAATAATAATGACACTGATAATTGTTTTTTACCCTTTTATCTGGCAATAAAACTGACACCTTTTTACAAGGAGTCATGTTTGCATTGACCACAATACCTGCGGTCGGAACGCAAAAAAAAACACAACTCTGATAATGTGTGCACTATCCTTGAAATTGATTGGTCCGCACCCGAGACAGCTTTTCTTAGAACCTAGTCTCACATGGTGTTGGACCAGATGACGCCAAAAGGCGTGTTTTTTGTTTGCATTCCGACCGCAGGTATTGTGGTCAATGCAAACATGACTCCTTGTAAAAAAAGGTGTCAGTTTTGTTGCCAGATGAAAGGGTAAAAAAAACTATTATCATATTTTGCTACTGGCAAAAGAGTTCCAATGGTGTAAATAATGACACTGTTACAGCCCGTTGTCGCATCACTCCGTGGCCTTTACCCCAAAAGCAAATCACGAAAACTGATGGACGTCCTCTGGTGCAGGAAGGCGGTGCTGGGGGGCATGATGGCGGGTGCCATCGGCCAGTTCTTTGCCAGTCCCACCGACCTGGTGAAGGTGCAGATGCAGATGGAGGGGAGACGCCGGCTGGAGGGCAAGGCACCCAGGTAACCCCAGCTGCTCGGACCGCTCGCTCGCTCGCTCAATCGCTTGCTCCCCCGTTAACTAACTTCAAGTCGTACGTGTGTGTGTATGTTGAACGTCTTTCACACCGTACGTGGCCGACCGTTGAACCAATGCTATTGAAATGGTGCACGTCCAGAAGACCGTATGGCTGATGGGATGTGAGAGATAAAAAAAAATACGTGGAGGGAGAGATGTGTGAAGGAGGCGTATAGCCTGATTATTTATGCCGTCCTGGGTAGAGGGAGGGGTATCGGCCTATAACGGGAACCGCGTGTCGGCAGGGTGCGCGGGGCCTGGCACGCGTTCGCCCAGATCCTGTCTCGGGGCGGCATGCGAGGCCTCTGGGCCGGGTGGGCGCCCAACGTGCAGCGGGCAGCGCTCGTCAACCTCGGAGGTAACAACACCGTTCCTCTTCTGGGTTCTTTCGGTAAAGTCACGTAGAAGGGAAGTAATAAAATAATACAAATAAAACATAATAAAATAATTCTATTATGTTTATTTTTATTATTTCTTCTTGGTTCCTTCGGTAAAGTCACGTAGAAGGGAAGTAATAAAATAATAAAAATAAAACATAATAAAATAATTATATTATGTTTCAAAATAATAAAAATAAAACATAATAAAATAATTATATTATGTTTCATTTTTATTATTTTATTACTTCCCTTCTACATGACTTTACCGAAAGAACCAAGAAGATGAATCCCTGCAGTCACGAAAGCTTTAAATCGAAATAAAACCGTTCCTCTCTCTCTCTCTTTTCTACGAGCCTCCAGTAAGTCACGTGACCTCCGCGTATGCCCCTCCCCCCACTCTGAATCCATTCCACCCCCCCTCTCTCTCCACGCCGCTACCGCCGCCCATTGTGACGACAGACGCTGCTCCTCCTTCGTGCAGCTCACTTCTTCTGCTCGCCCCTCCCTTCTCTCCCCCCCCCCCCCCTCTATTCCCTCCTCCCCTCTCATCATCTGAAGCAGTGGCTCTTAAGCCTGGGGTGCACGCACGCCCCCCTTCTGGGGGTGCGAGACATGGTCAGATCTTAGTAGTAGGTTTTTACCCTTTAAACTGGTACAAAACTGACAGCTTTGTACAAGGCATCATGTTTGCAATAACCACAACACAAGTAGTCAAAATGCAAACAAAAATAAACAACTCTGATAATGATAATAATATGCACTGACCTTGAAGTTGATTGGTCCACACCCGAGACAGCTTTTTTTAGAGCCTAGTCTCCATTGGTGTCATCTGGTCCGGTTGTTTTCGGTGTTCACACGCGGCGACGCTTCGACGCGTCGTCGCCTGCTGCTTCGCCCCTCACCTGCTCGCGTGGTGTCGCGACTTCTCCACAGATCTCACGACCTACGACACGGTTAAACACCTGCTGCTGCGACGCACGACGCTGCAGGACAACTGGGTTTGCCACGGACTGTCGAGGTGCGAGCGAGACTCCCGAGTGCTGGGCTCCAGAAATTTTCGTTTTTGTTCAGCGTCGCGTTGGCGAGATGTTAACCACCTCGCCTGGTGTACAGGAGGTTCATGAGTTCGGTTCCGACGCTGACGCCTGAATATTTATTTGCGTGTTCTCCCCATGGTCGCGTGTGGATTTTTGTCCGGGTCCTCCGGTTTTTCCCTCCACATTTAGAATCTGGCTGCTATAAATTTCCATGTGATAATAAGCCACTTCGTTGAGCTATCATTTGTGGCCAGGTCGCTTCTGAAAACGAGCTACATAGCTCAGTGAGCCTTACCTGGTAAAATATATATTTCACTCATCCCGTTCATCCGTGGGCTATGACCCAATCACCACAAAATTGCGCCCAGATCTCAGAAGCTAAGCGGGCTTTGAGCCTGGACAGCGCTTGGACTGCCGACAGCCATGCCTAATGATTGTAGGTGGCGGTGGGAGCAATGTGGTGGGCAACAGAGGGCAGTGCAAGAGGGCAGTGCAGCATAAACCATTGACGCGCTGTACTGCTATGCTGCATGCATTCACCATGCTGCACTGGGTAACGCGGTGTGTGCGTGTACGTCTGCTGTGTGTGCGTTTGTGTGCGTATGTATGTGTGCACACGTCTGTGCTTGTGCGGGGAGCGGTGTGGCAGCGGTTAGCGCACTGCGCTCTGAAACCGGCGCTCACGGCCAACTTCAGTGATTCAAGTCCCTCCTCTGGTGGACTCGAGCCTTAAAAATGAGTATCTGGTGCGGTGTGTAAGCATCAGCACTCGGGAGAGAAATTCCGACCAAGCATGGTGCTGACCACCCACCCCCTCGCGTGCCGTGCCGGTCTTCATAGGCGCTCGCCTACAGCACTTACCCCTCACGAGTCTGTGTCAGACTACACGGGGGATCGTTGTCTTTTGGTGTACGTCTGTGCGTATGGATGCAGTGTATTCTCAGGGTTAGTAGCAGCGACGATGAGTACACCCGCGGATGTCGTCAAAACCCGAATCATGAACCAGCCCACGGACCGGAATGGAAGGTGACTCTGCGAACGTGTGCGGCCCGTTTTCGTCAATCTGCTTGCCGGAGGAGGGCCTCCCCACGCCGTGGGGGTGTCATTTGGCCATACTTCACTACGCTGGTCAGAGCGGGTTGGTGAATCTGGGGGATTGTCGCTGCAACACCGCAGCACCCTCTAACAGACCTACAGGTCAATCCATCCCCAACGCTATCCAGGCTCAACCACTGCTGAGCGTTCGAGATCAAACCGCATTCTGGATGACGGGGTCATGGGCAGTTCCTACACACCCTGCCGTGGTATCGTTGAAAGCCAAAGACCCTCCCTAAGGCCTTTAACAGACCGTCAGGGCAAGTGCTGTTGGCGAGTAGCACCGGCGAATGGCCACTTGCCTCTGTGTGTGTGCAGGGGAGTCCTCTACCGCTCCTCCCTCGACTGCCTCACGCAGACGGTGAGGGCTGAAGGCTTCGTAGCCCTCTACAAGGGCTTCCTGCCCACGTGGGCACGCATGGTAATCATCGCATTCCCCGCACCTGTGGCTCGGGGGAGCCCGCTTGTGATTCCCTCGGCACACTAGAAAGCGCCTTAGAGCGAGCGCATCTCAGCTCAGGGGGTGCGGCATTCGTTCAAGGGGGGTCCCAATATTTGATTTGTCTTGCTCGGTCGCACCTAAGCTATTATATATCGTGGCCCTCATTTTGCCCAATCACATCATTATGTAAATTTTTGTTAGTTTAACACTCTTGTTGAAAACATATCTCATGGTGGTAGTCAAGTAGGCCCCAAACTCATAGCTTTGGCCACCAGGCAGGGGCCAAGGCACTTCCTGCTCCCACGCTCGTTACGCGACTGGCGTAAGTTTATTAGTAGCGACGGGGGGCGGTCATTGCCAGGTGTAAATTAGTAATTTGAATAATTTACGGTGTGGTTCGAATTTCGCGGGTATGGACCACGATGCCAGCACACAAATGGCCCACCCTCACGAACGACGCCAGGGGATCTTTAACGTCCAGTCCATTGAGAATCAGTGGACGGTTAATACGCACACCGCGATAATAACCAGGGCAGCCTACCGGATTCGAACCGCAGACCACTGCAACGCACGACCACTGGACCAGGGGTCGGCAACCTGCGGCTCTGGAGCCGCGTGCGGCTTTTGAAGGAAAGCTACTTGGTGAGGTTGCTTATTAAGGACAACCACCGTCTCATATTCACCACACGGTGCATCGCGGCTCTTGAAATATTGAGCGGGGTATTTACTTAATTGGACAAAAAATTTTTATCTTGTTATTTTGAGTTGCCGGCCCCATCGTGTGACACCTCTTGTTGAGTCATGCCATTGCCCGAACAGTCGTAAAGCTTTTCCTGGGGAAGACACGCAAACCTAACTTATTTACTCTCGTTGGAAGGCGCTTACTTGGAGCAAGTGTAAGAGCACTTTATTATGAGGTCGCACTCATCCACACACCAGGTGCTTTCCACAAATGAACCACAATACCTTTGCTGATATCGTCAAGGAGCATAAACCATCATCACGCGAATTCCCGGTCATCCTCGCAGCACCTTTTGGCTAACCATCGAACAAAGGCGGGTCACCACATCGCGAGCTTTCACATGCGCATCTGTGGTAAGTTCAACATACTTACATACACGTACGTTAATGCGTATTGCGTTCGTTCAACTGCCGCGTGCGTGCAGGCCCCCTGGTCACTCACCTTCTGGATCACCTTCGAGCAGATCCGCAGGCTTACCGGCGTAAGCTCCTTCTGAGCGTCGGGGGGAGGCCCCATCGCCCGAGCCACCGTCCTCCTCGACTCCGCTTCGACCCGCCTTCACTTTGCCTCGTCGCCGAGTCTCCGGACACCAGGCTCTCGTGGTCAGAGGATTTTGGCGACGGCCCCGCAAAAAGGAATGGTGGCTGGTGAGCGGCCCGGCTGTTCACTGCTGGGCCCCGTGCCCTCCCCGTGTACGACATGAGGTTCGTTGCCTAGTGGCAGCGTGAGACGCAATGCCACCTTGAGCAGGGGTGGGGAAACATTCTCCCAGACCGAGGGCATCCGAATAGGACATTCGAATACCTTTGGCAGGCAACCAAGCATTAAAAAAAAACGACGGACTAAGATCCTCCCATATAGCATTGAAAGACCATTGGGGCAAGTGTTGTTAGCGAGCATCTATTGAAGGCTGGCACGGTACACGAGGGGGTGGGTGGCCAACACCACGCCCTGGCTGCCTTTTTTCTCCCCAGTGGCGATGTTTGCACACCACACCAGGTACTCATTTGAGGCTTTATCAATCTAGGCGAGGCCCGGTATAGGTTCAGCAAATCTATACTGATATTAGCTGTGAGCGGGAATCGAGCTCGGGTCTCTGGGTTCGTAGCACAGGACGCTAAACGCTACACTACCGCTCCCCACCAAACATTAACACGCATGAACACAAACACTCCATTCAATGCATTAAGGCCCTTGTAGTGACAGAAGCAACTGAGCATGGCGCTAATATTGTAAACGCAGACTCATTGCCAGGCTGCGACTATTCCCTTCCACTACGTGATTAGCGCAGCTAAGATGCTTGTAACTTCCTCCAGGAGGAGGGCTGTGAAATATCGACATTTTGAGAAGTCAACCATTTTCAGTTTCGTTTTCCGTGAAATATGTAACCCGAACACGTGTTTTCTATCATTTACGTGAACAGAGCCAGTGTTTGCTAAGCCCTTTTTGACAAAGGCCTACCCACTCCGGTCGTGAGGGTTGTTTGACCATACCTCACCACTCTGGGTCAGTGCCTGGCAGTAATTACCTCAGTGGTCTACAATGTTCGATTTAACGCTTAAAGCAGTCAAGATTACTCGATGCACCTATTGAAGACAAGAAGTACAGCATTGCATAGCAATTTTACGCGTAAATGATAGCAGCAATATTCATAATTGCACATTGCAGTTAATCGCACGATGCATATTGTATTGAATGTAGCGCGCGTGTCATCAAGTGATATTTATTTTTGTAATTGTGATCATTCAAAGCCTCCGCCATCTTGGTTCCACTGCTTGACTAGCACTGACCAGCCAAAATGGTGGATTGTGGCTAGGGTTGCCAACTATCCGGGTTTTGCCAGGAACTTCCTCTTGTTGAGGAGGTAGCTGCTGTTCTGGGATGTTCTTTAAGCCATCCCAGGACATTTTTAAGTCCAGGTGTTTTGTCATTTGCCCAATAATAATAATGAACCACCACTTACGACAATGCATTTTCAGTGTTGAGAAATATTCTTCATATGTCCAAAGGTAGCAACTCTCGTTTTGATGAGCCGAGTAGTTAACACTATTTGAGAACTCAGGTGTGCAAATATAGTATTTAATATCTAGATGAATAATTGCTTTAATGTGATTTTGATATTTTTCTTTACATATTGATATTTAAAAGCAGTGACAATTTGGCCAATTTTCCATTGCCACATCCGCGCTGTGCCAGGACAGGAGCCAGAATTGTACGGGTATTTTTTTCCACTGGTTATTTGCCGTGCCGAGCCAGAAGCAAACTGTGATACCCGGGCCTCACAAGAATACCTCTGAATCTGTCCCGGGCCAAGCAGGGCCAGGGGCGGGGCAAAATGACGCATTCAATCGCGTATGACGTCAGTCAGTCGACTGTGAGGCCATAGAATCACTACAGCCGTCTCAATTCCGTACGGTTGTGCGTGACGACATCGTCACAGCCCAGCTACCGTGCTACTTGTTTATATGGCGGTGATTCCTTCTTCAAATAGTGTATAGCAATAACTTTTGAAAATATAGAGAGCTGCCTGAGCATGTGCCTTAATTTTCTTGTTGCCATCAAGACAAAATTATTTTGCGGGATGAAATATACCTCGAGTAATTATCACCAGCGTTATAATTGTATTTGATTTGCTTGTTATCCATAAAAAAAGTCTTGAAAAACCGTTCACATGTTTGCATTTGACCAATGGCAGAGCAGGGCAGGGGGGAGTGGGCGTGGCCTGCTTGTGGTTTTGGCGGGAAAACGACATCGGCTTCACCCTCTTTCCGCTGGCCGTCCAATCAGACGCCCCCATGTGTCCCCGTCACGACAGCAACGTCACTATGGCAGCAAGATGGGTTCCCGCGCAACCGCGTGGAGTACGAAGCGTCACTCAAGAATATCATCGCATCGTTTTAAGTAGTTTTTAGGATACCACGGTGGCGAAATGTTAACTACCTCGCCTGGTATACAGAAGGGGGTTCGATCCCAACCCTGACGCCTGCTGTATATTTGGAGTTGGCATGTTCTTTCTACGGGTTTTTTTTCTCCACATTAGAAACATGCGTTTAAGAGTATTTGGATGCTATGTCTACGTGATAAGCCACTTCATTGAGCGATCATTTGTGGCTAATTCGCTTCTAAAAAAAGAGCTATGGGGCCGTCCATAACGTCACGTACCTAGGGGGGGTCAGACATTTGTGACGATATAGACAACACATTCTACTTAAAGACTTTTGAATGTTTTCTCCTACATCAGAGTGCAGCGCCACATTAAATACGCACTACAATGACAATAATTTAAAGCGATTTGAAGCATGTTTAATTTTGGGGGGGGGGGGCAGAGCTTTGTGACGTCATATTTGAGGGTGGGGGTCTGACTTTTTGTGACGCCATGTGACTGGGGGGGGGGGGGGGGTCAAAAATCGTCCAAAATCACTTGACGTCATTAATGGACGGCCCCTATATAGCTCAGTGGGCCTTACCTGCTAAAATAAAAAGTTTAGTTTTTGCTTGAGGAATTATTGAATGGTTCCATGCTCAACCGACAACATGTGCGTTTTAATCGTTATCGATTGTGACGTAATGGGTGGGAAGACTGGGATTCTCCTGCACCGTGAAGTGTGGTGTGGTGTAACGGCCATTACTCGCGTCTGTACAATCACATTACAACCCAGCGTTACGAACAAGCAGACCAACCAGCAATAGGTAGAGGTTTCAAATACATTTTAATTTAGATTAAAATTATATTTTTACACTCACGAGCCAACAATATATTTCGAGTTGATGTATCACTAAAATACAACCCTATAACAATCTGGCCCATTGTCCTATTGTGCAAGGTTCTGCTTAATTGTTGAAAGGAACACATAACCCACGCAAGTTTTGTTCGGATTTTTAAGGACAATTTTGGATCTCGTTCCGATCACCAATACGGAATAAATGAACGCATCTTCATCGTCGCAAAAGTGACGTCACCCGATGCCACAGGGGCATATTGACGTGATCATCGTTTGTGACGGCGCAAAGTCGGTGAACAACTTAAACGCAACGTCACGGCGCCGCCTACGCGCGCCTCGACTTTGTTCCCTCTGTGAGTGACGTCGGCGGCACTACTCAAGACTTCTGCGGTGGAAACACAACTCAGTGGCCTCTTGATTCGTACCGAGCTGGATTGGCACGGCCCCGGCACGACTCGGTTGTGCAGTGGGAAAGACCTCGGTGAAGAGCTTGTGTCGTTTTTTAGCAGCTGTCTTCCCCTCTTCCTGATGACGAACGCTTGCGTTGCGATCGAAACGTCGTAGTTTTTTGTTATTTTTTGTTCTTTTCTTTGAACCTATCTACGTGACTTTACCGAAAGACCCAAAGAATAAGCTTACATTATTTTTCGTTTGTATTTTATTTCATTCCACCGTAGTCAGCCCCTTTAGCAAGCTGGCTTATCTGTGGCTTTACAGGTCCACACGTATGTTAGTGCCACCACGAGCCCACGTCGCCAGCCGCACGGGACCTCCAAAACCCACTTCCAACCAGGGGCATCGCAAATCTCGCAACAGGAGGCGGCAGCGGTGGTGGCTGGTGCACGGCGCCACCGCGCAGGCGTCATGGGGGCTGGGCGACCCGGTGCGTGGTACACAACCACGTGGCAAGCGCAGTGGTGGTGCTGGTGGCACGATTTGGCCGGATGCCTCCGTCAGCAACCACTAAGAAGTTCTCCCTCTTTACGGTGCCGTCGGCCATGACCGATCGGTAGCGGCTCCCGTGCTCTCGAGATGAGGCTGCACAAACAACAAATGGATTCAGTAAAACTTATCAAGAGTGGGACACAAGCAAGCCAGAATTCAGAGCAAGCCCGAACATTACCCGAAAAAAATAAAATAAAGAACATTTTAAATAAACCCCAAAATTCCCGCCGGATGTTAATTAAGCTGCGCACACTTCGAGACAGTGTGTGCGTGTGTGCACCGGCAATTTGAAAGCTGGTGTTGCACATGCAATGCCAACGGCACATTCCCAGAGTCCGTTGGCTCGCCCTTGAAATCTCGCGAGGACTGGCTTTGGGAAAACTCTGCACCAATGTAAATTCCACCTCGGTTGGCACTAATCCTCCTGCCAGTGGACTTAGCATTTTGTACGTTGCCACCACGGCCATCGCTGCCGCTCCACCAAGAGAGCCGCGATCTTAACAACCGTCCTTTAACTTTCCTCCGCATCGTAACATAAGATGACCTCACCTCCTCCGACCCTCGGCGTCACTTTGTCCGCTCTTCACCGGGACCCCCTTCGCTGTCGTTCCCTCGTCCCCCGTGGCTCCCACCGCCCGGCACGAGGTCGCTGGGCGTGCTCTCCAGACGGAATATGATGGGCGTGCGGCCCAACACAGGATTGGAGAGCTGCAGGCCCGAGAGCCAGTGCCCTAGTGTGGCCTGGTCACCACGCCCCACCATGCACATGGCAAAAACGGGGCCCTCCTCCACTGCGGGAGACACACGGGGCAAATGCTTACTCGCCTGCTCGCTCACCCGCTCGCTCACCCGCTCACTGCGACCGCCCGACAAGCAAAAATACGGCGAGATGAACCACATGGGGGTGGTGCAGATAATGGGGGAGGCGGTGGTCATGTGTTTGAGCGGAGAGGGCTCAGGCTGACGGGAGTGTGTGGTGACCGTAACCGGCAGGCAACCACTCACCCTCCTGAACATCGAAGGAAAAGTCATCGGCGAGGTCGAGGGTCAGGTCAAGGTCAAGCTGCAGGGGGTAGTAGAGGCTCCGCTCGGGGTCGACGGGGGGGTTCTGGGGACACATTGCAGTCGCTGGTGAACGGGCTGAGACCTTTGACTAGCTACACTCAAGAACCGGGTTTGATCACGGGCAGTGACCGAGACACGGATTTTAAAACCATGCACCCGAGTGATTCCTGCTCAGTGTCTCTGACCTCCGAGCCACCCGGTCACCTCTCAACAATCGATTCTTGTTGGTACCGCCCGATGCACGTATCGCTCGCCTAAGGATCGATTTTTTTAACCCACGGACATAAGGAACCGCGACGTGTCCCCGCAGCAGCCTCCGAACAAGATCGTCGTTTTCATTCAGAACCGTGCAGCCGCCCCAACCGCGTCCGTGATCGGTTGTGGGTGAGCGATGCTAACGAGCGACACAGCGAGGCGGTGTCTCATTAGAAGGGGGCGGGGGGTGGGGCGCACAAGATGCGAGACCGCTAGCACCTTCTCGTGGGGTGCGAGGGGGTCACCGCGGAGCACGTAGTAGGAGACGTTGGTGTCACGCAGCCACAGGCGCGACGGCCCCTCCACGTACACGGGCCGCTCGGGGCGGTGCCGCGACAACAACTCCTGCTGATCGGGAGTCTGGATGCCTGCACGCACGTGCCCGTACACATGAGCACACAATGTACACGCGTGTAAGCAAGGACGTACATTCTAACCTTACTCCCTCCCTTTGATACTGCTAATCCTGCATAATGCATGGGCATAATGACTTAAAACCCCTCGCCAAACCTCCTACGCATTTCACAAGTAGTACTAATCGCATATCAGCATTTCCCATGAATATGCTAAATTCCTCTTGATATGCAAATTATTTTGTCAAGACGCTCTTCGCCCCTCCATCCCAGCTTAAATAGTCGCTCCAAGCCTGGGGCGTGCCATTCAGACTCTGCCTTCTCGACAGACCTGTTCTCCACCTGAAGACGGCTGCTTGCGTTGTGGCCAAAACGTCGTGAGAATTATTTTATTGTTTTATTTTTATTATTTTATTATTTTCCTTTTACGTGACTTTACCTAAAGAACCAAGAAGATGAAGAAGGACGTACATTTCAAGGTTGCCACATTGTTGTAGGGTTGTCATATTTCCCCCGTACAACTTGATGAGATGCTCGCAGTTGATACATAAGTAACAATTTCAGGCCATTTCGAAGTGCTAGGCTTCATGTGTCCGTGGGTAGAATTAAACAAAGTCATGGGCCATATCTGGCCCATGGGCCGTAGGGTTCCCCAGCCCTGACCTACAGGATACATCAACGCCTTACCGACAATGTAGGGCTTGGTCACGTCACGGCCGTCTTCTGTGACATCATTGTACGAACTCTGCGGGGCAGACGGTTGCAACGAAAATTAACAGAAGCCGTATTTAAACGAGACAGAAAACACCAAGAATGTGCACGTACGTTGAATCGCTTTCCACCGTGTGAGGAACTATTTAATTTGCGATACGGAAGCCGATGTGTTCGGAGCCGTCAGGGTAAAATTTGATTGCATATTAGCAAATGGTTCATTCGGCTCTTGAATCGGGTGCAACCGCAACAAACAAAAAACAAAAACATGAACAAGAATACATCTTAAAGTGAATATGTGACTAAGTGCAAACAGAAAATCCAAGCAAAGACAGAAAAATATTGCAGAAAAAACACCGTACACCAACGCTCTGTGCAAAAATCCCAGTGGGATGCAAGTCAAACAACAACAACAACCACAAGACAACATAGATTAAGGCCATCAGTCTTACTCCGTACTACAACAAACGAACATGGCCAAACCAGTAAACTTTTCGAAATCACCAAAATAAAGCAATGAAACAGTGATCATAGGAACTGCCGGGATTTTCACAATAAACGACAAACAACATGGACTACCAAAACCCTGCAGCCATAGCTGGCTACTTGCGAGCAGTCACATGAGCATGCAAACGAGCGAGCGAGTGTGAAAGTCGATCGGGTGAGCATGCGAAGAAGCGTGCGAGCAATCACATGAGCAGGCCAACGAGGAATCGAGCAAACATGCTATCAAGCAGAGCTTTCAAAAGAGTGAGCGGGTGGGTGAGCGGGCGGCATCCTTGCCTGGTAGACGGTGACCTTGGCGTCAAGGTCGTCGGCCATGCGCGTGAGTGCGAGCGAGGCGAGGGTGACCGGGTCGCTGGGCAGCGTCACGGGCACAGGGTACGGGTTCATGTGCTTCATGCGTGGGAACCAGTAGAGGATGCGGCGATACTTGCGGTACGGGTGGCTTAGCTGCCCGTAGATCTGGATGAGCAGCGACCGCGTCTCCTTGTCAGGCATCAGGCCTGGGGGGGAGGAGGGGGTCAGGGGAAACCATTGGGGGATGTGGTTGGTGCAAAGTTTGAAGGCATGGAATTATCCATCGGTTAAAATATTTTGAATTAGAGTTATTTATTTTTTCCTTCCGATATTTTCCCCAATTATTCTCCAACTGTGCTATCGTTATCTCGTTACGAGATGAAGTATCCACTCAGCTCTCTCGCAGTGTTGTACAACCCTTCGCGTGTGGAAGCAGATATCACATAGCTGTCTTATGGGACTAATATTCATCACATGACAGTCGAACAAATGTTTTTAATTCTCAGTGTTGGGAATTAAACGAGTATGTAGGCAAGCGTCTGGTTAAGCGGGCAAGTGAGCAGGCTGATGGATGATGAGGCTAAGGAGCAAGCAGGAAAACCGACGAATCGACGATTAGGCAAGCAGACAAATCGGCGAGCAAATTTGTGAGCGGGAAAAATCTATTGATTGGCGATCAGATGAATGGACAAGCAAACGAGCGGATAGATAAGCGACCGCGCTCCTGCACGCAACGCCGCCGCCGACTCTCACCATAGTTCTCCATCTGCTCGAGCACGGCGATGCCGCACTGCTGCTGGCGCGGGTAGTGGTTGAACGTGCGCTGGATCACGTTGCGCGGCACGAACACCCCCTTGGGGATGATGTCGAGCAGGCGGTTGTAGACGGCGATGTCGCGGTGCACGCCGTAGTCGCGCATGCACCGCAGTGCCGCGTATACGAAGTCCACGTGGCCGCGGCGGCGTGGGTCGTCCCGGCAGAATGACTCGATGACGCTCGTGAACGCCGCCTTGGTGCGGCCGCTATGCCCCGCCGCGGCCGCCGCGGCCGCCTCAGCAAAATGGTGCTCGTAGATGGCGAGAGAGGTAGCGGAGGTATCGGTGTCAGCGCGGCCCTGTGGAGAGAAGAGGCAGCGACATAAGGGGGGAAAAAAAGTGATGGATGTAGGATGTGGGGCTTTGGGACAGGAGCGATGCAGCCTAACAACAAGGCCGAAGTTAGGTATCTTTGCCTTCGGGGACACGAACACTCAGCCACTCACACAATTCTGTTATCATCCGTCAGTCTACCCCCTCAACTCACCCGCTCAGCCATTCGTAAGATTGTTCGCGAGTCCGCCTACCTCTGTCGACTCTTTGCTCCAATAATATTGCTTCTGCTGCTGCTTCATCGCAAGCTCCTGATGCTCCTGCTGTTGCTGCTGATTTTGAGTCTGCTGCTGCTGCTCTTCCTCCTGCTGACTCTTCTCCTCCTGCTGCTGCTGCTTCTCATATTGCTGTTGCTGCAGCCGTTGGTGAGCTTCGTCGTCGCTTGTGACTCTGCTGCCGGCGCTCGAGCTGTCTGTGTCGGGCTGCGCCCTGGAGAGCCGGTGCTTCTGCAGCGCTGCGCGGCCGATGAACACGCTCCTGCAGGCGACGACCACGACGGTGGCAGCCTAACGGACACGGGCACGATCAATAGAGAGTCCCACGATGTCAATTATTTGTCGAGTTGCTGACTTGGCTAACTACTGTAAAGTATTGAAGAGATAGTTAATTCATAGCAGGCCCCAGTTCATTATATGGACCCCTGTGGTAAAAAATGTAGAAGAGCAAGGACTCCACCACCCCTCACTTCCCCCAAGGTAAGAATGCTTTAGGGTTATGGTTAGTGTAGGGGTTTGGGTGTCTATCCAAGGGTTCTTGCAACCCACTTCAAATTGGCTTTTGTCAATATTACAGCGCAAAATAGATTAGCTCCAAGTGTACTTACAAGTATGTGAAGAGAATAATGACCCATATTGGCAGGGGTGTTAATCTGCCACAGCAGGAAAAGGGTTTTAATAAATCATAGACTTTTGACGCCAGGGTCAGAATTCGACAGGGGTCAAAAATACTTTCTCACACTGTGACTCACGTACATGGGGCCCCGTGCTGTGACGTGAAGGGACCCCCACGGGCCCTGTCACGGCTGAAGCGGTGCGGGTCCAGACCCCAGCGAGCAGGGACGACAGCCCCCGTGTGTAACTCATCATCGTCAATGGCGACGTGGTAAACCCCTATTCGGCCTCATCAACGCGAGCAGCTCAGTCCTGAGGGTGCATACAGACACGTCCCTCCGTGTCACCACGCTGCATCGTGCGGGGTTGAACAGATACCACCTGCCACTGATGTTAGTCGTGGCCGAGAATCGAACTCAGGTGGTCAGGATAATGACATGGTGCAGAAGTCACTGCACCACTACTCCACACCCCATGTACAATATGTGACCGTAATTCACTCATGTTGGTCAGTGTGGGTTTGTGAAGTCAGGGAGCAGAGGACTTTACAGCAAAATTTATTTTGCCGCACTGCCCCCTTGTGCCCACCACACGGCAGAGTATGTACAGATTAACATAGATACCACTTAAAGAAAAAATAAACATTAGAAATCTTAGGACCAGAGCTAGGGCAGCTCGGGCTTCCTGCTTGTCTATGGTTTCCACACACAACAAAACTGCCCTTTGCAAATTATAAATGATCGTACTTATGAAACTAGAGAAAAAAACATGTAACTTCCAGGTCCCCATGTCTCCCACCAATATCAATAGACTAACACACGTATTTTAACACTATCTTCTGTAAGATACGGAGCAATTGATTTGACAAAGTTCAGTCCCGTGTTGAGAAGAAATGCGCTCGGAAGAAATCAGTGGGGTATCTATAAATGTATCACTGTCAATAGCGGGCCATTCATTTGTGCAATGCAAGTGTTTGTATATAGATCACACTGCGATAACCCCGTCATTTGTGCATTTGCGATCATCTGACATCACGAAGGTGCAGCGACGTGGTGGTGTCCGTAGGTGGTGGTACAATAAGTAAAACACATTATTTGGTGATACTGCGTTGGCCAGTGTGCGAAAACAATTTACAAAAACCGCAATTCATTCGTCAAGAACACTGTGGCGTTCACTGGAAAAGATAACAGGGAACGTTTCGGGTAATGTGCTGTGGCACAGTAAGTAGGTTGTTTCTGAGTGGCTCAAGTGTGTACGGTGAAGTTTGAGTCGACCCCATCTCACGCGGATGGTTTGACTCCAGACATACTGCGGATTTATCGCACAATCTCGCGGCCCCGTCGAGACGGAGGCGGTCAGGACACTAGATGTCAGTACAGAAAGTACCGCAGGACATTACTGTACAGGAACACCGCCCGATTAGGAATTATATCACAGGCGACGTTTTGGGCAATGGCCCTTCTTCAGAGCACGTAAACAGGTGTGCAAATAATTACATACGTTCCTTCTAAGGCTGTGTTATTGACGTATGCGTTGATTTGTGGTGTTGTTGTTTGTTGATTGTGCACCACCGGCAAAGCGGCATCGCCAATATAATTTATTTTAAGGGAGGGCAAGTAGGTACTGGACCGGTAGTGGGGTCTCCCACCCCCGACGCCTTCGCCAACCCTCAGCACCAGCGAGGTGAAGTATGGTCAAACAACGCCCGCCACGGACTGGTGCTGCGTCAATCATCATACACCCGGCAGTTTGATTTGACAAAAATGCCTTCCGCCACCAACAACGATCAATCCACTGCTGGATGAAGGTCTCTCTCCCAAGCCGTCGCATTGTTACTACTATTACTATTAAGACGATTGCTATCATTGACTAGTATTACATTCAAGAAGCTGCGAGTCTCAAAAATTGACGCTGGCTTCTTGCGAGCGAGCCAAAGGTCAGGGAGGCCTCGCGCAGGATGAGACTGCGAGTTCCCTCTCAAGCGGCCCCACCCTCCTTCATCGCCTCTCTCGCCTTTGCGCGACGAGGCGAGGAGCCAACGAGTTGTTTAGACTCGAAGATGAGGAATGATGATGATGATGAGGCGGGAACACGAGGACACTCACGCGGATTAGCAGGGTGGCATGGGGGCGGCCATGTTGTTGCCGCGCGGGGTTGTGGGTAGTAGGGTTGTCACGATATGACGATATACGACGATATCGCACGATACGATATATCGCACGATACGATATATCGCACGATACGATATATCGCACGATACGATATATCGCACGATACGATATATCGTACGATACGATATATCGTACGATACGATATATCGTTCGATACGATAATTGTGAGAATTGTTTTATTATGTTTTATTTTTATTATTTTATTACTTCCCTTCTACGTGACTTTAAAACATAATAAAACAATTCTCACAATTGTTTTATTATGTTTTATTTTTATTATTTTATTACTTCCCTTCTACGATACGATATATCGTTCGATACGATAATTGTGAGAATTGTTTTATTATGTTTTATTTTTATTATTTTATTACTTCCCTTCTACGTGACTTTAAAACATAATAAAACAATTCTCACAATTGTTTTATTATGTTTTATTTTTATTATTTTATTACTTCCCTTCTACGTGACTTTAAAACATAATAAAACAATTCTCACAATTGTTTTATTATGTTTTATTTTTATTATTTTATTACTTCCCTTCTACGTGACTTTACCGAAAGAACCAAGAAGATGAATCCCTGCAGTCACGAAAGCTTTAAATCGAAACAAGCAATCATCATCAGGTGGGAAACCCACAACAAAAATGTATTCACGAAGTTCATAGTTTCAGTTCAAAGTAATGCTGTGATTCACGCCGTGTGTGTAAAAGTACAATTACGGCTTGCACCGCGATAATCGTTATATAGCGATAATGTTAATATTGCGATAATGGCTATATCGTGATAATCGTTATATCGTGAAATTGAATATCGAAATTATATCGTGCGAGCGGGTGGCGGAGGCCCCCACCCCCTATCCCCCCCACCCCCTATCCCCCCCACCCCCTATCCCCCCCCACCCCCTATCCCCCCATACCCCCTATCCCCCCATACCCCCTATCCCCCCCCACCCCCTATCCCCCCCACCCCCTATCCCCCCACCCCCTATCCCCCCATACCCCCTATCCCCCCATACCCCCTATCCCCCCCCACCCCCTATCCCCCCCCCACCCCCTATCCCCCCCCACCCCCTATCCCCCCATACCCCCTATCCCCCCCCCCACCCCCTATCCCCCCCCCACCCCCTATCCCCCCCACCCCCTATCCCCCCATACCCCCTATCCCCCATACCCCCTATCCCCCCCCACCCCCTATCCCCCCCACCCCCTATCCCCCCCCACCCCCTATCCCCCCATACCCCCTATCCCCCCCCCACCCCCTATCCCCCCCCACCCCCTATCCCCCCCCCCCACCCCCTATCCCCCCATACCCCCTATCCCCCCCCCACCCCCTATCCCCCCCACCCCCTATCCCCCTCACCCCCTATCCCCCCATACCCCCTATCCCCCCCCACCCCCTATCCCCCCCCTTATCCGATTCCCCCCCACGACCCCTCACCCCCCACCCGATCACCCCCAACCGACACTCCCCCCTTGACCCCCCCACACCTGAACCCCCCCCTGAACCCCCCCCCCCCTCACCTGAACCCCCCCACCTGACACTCCCCTCACCAGACCCCCAGCCGACTCCTCCCCTTGACCCCCACCCGACCCCTCACCCCTCCCATCAAGTCGGATATCCGCAGCACGTGCGCCACGTCACGTCGGTTCACAATCACCCCCCCCCCCGTCTCCGAGGGCGGCCATCTTACGTGAGGTAGGCGTGTGTGGACAACGCCGCTGAGTTTGCGTGGCCCCTCCCCATCACCCGGATGACGTCACGGCCACGAGGGCGAATCAACGTTGGAGTGGTGGGGGGAGGGGTGGGCGAGTGCTTGGGCGGCTTCACCACCCTCAGGTAAGATGGCCGCCCGCGTGCTCCACCGATTCCTCTGACGAGACCTCGTGGGCGGGAGGCGCGCGTGGGAAGCATTCCCTCGTCTCGGCTTCCACCACCACCACCACCAACTCGTCCCCACCGCAACTCCTCTTCGTCACCTCTTCTCGGCAACCACCTCGTCGGGCTGGTTTAGGTCTTCAAGTCAAGGCCTTGGGCCAGCGTTGGCTACGGTGAGAGGCGCCTGTGGAGGGGTGTTGCGGTCCACGTTTTCGATTGCGGGCTGCTAGGGTGAGGGCGGCGGGGGGGTCGAGATGGATCTGGTTCGAGTCTGGATGTGAATTAGTTGGGTACGGATTGGAGCCTGGAACGTTATTAGTCTGTTGGGTGCTGTGGTTGGCTTGTGGATGGGTTCAGTCGCGGTATTAACAGGGTCTGGATCGATGGTGAGTCGGTCGGGTGTCAACGAGGAGGGCACGTGTCCCGCGGAGATGGAGCGATGAAATGACCACGTGTACAGCTGCCCCCGGTGTCCTCCTGCCACGCGGGACCACGAGGGGATGACGACTGTTTGGGGGAGAGATGCCTTCATCAGTGGGTTGATGATAATGATGGATGATGTCTGCTTGGTGTCAGGATGTGTCTGCTTCGTTTCTAAACGGGCTTCTGATTCGGCACGAGGTGGAGCTTGCTCGAGTTCAAGTTGCTCGTGAATGTTGTCTCGAGGTCTATATGTTCGGGTCTGCATAGCCAGCTAGCTCCGTATGAGTCTGCATGTGGTTTGTGTGTGGCCTGCCTTGAGTAGAGATGGGGGGTGGGTAGGCTGCTTGAGTCCAGATGGGTTTATCGTGATCAGATTGCATCAGAAGAATCGGTCTCGCTGCACATTCGGTGGCCGGAGTGATTCTTGTGGAGATCGCCGTTTCTCCAGAGAGAGAAGAAAAGAGATGAGAGAGAGATGATGGACGGGTGTGATGATGGTGGTGGTGGTGCTATCGGTGGCACTTGCCGTTACTTTAGCTTTGAACGTTAAGGAGTTCCGAATGAAGGGCAACGTCGCACTCGTTGTTTGTTGATTTGTTGTTGTTTCGTCTTCTTGGTTATTTCGGTAAAGTCACGTAGAAGGGAAGTAATAAAATAATAAAAATAAAACATTATAAAATCATTCTCACGACGTTTCGGCCACAACGCAAGCAGCCGTCCGTTGTGGCCGAAACGTCGTGAGAATTATTTTATGTTTTATTATTTTATTACTTCCCTTCTACGTGACTTTACCGAAAGAACCAAGAAGATGAATCCCTGCAGTCACGAAAGCTTTAAATCGAAATTGTTGTTGTTTGTTTGTTGTTTTGTTGTCAACAACAAATAATGATTTTTTTCGGCAATACATTTACAGCACTCGTGCGTTGTATACCCGAATGAACCGCCCACGTTAAATACGTTGCTGATAATCGTGGATAATAGGTACAGTGGGTTCGTGAAAGATGTTGTCGAACAACAATTAAACACGAGAGACTATAGCAATGCTGTATTATCACGGCATATTCGTGTGCCGGTTATAGATGGATTTTTTTTTACATCACAGGATCGCGAGGTGGGAAACGCCTTAGGTGAGACCTTCATCCAGCAGTGGATCGATGATGGATGATGATGATGATTATTATTATGGCGAGCACCCCTTAGTACAAAGAGTCTCTTATTTTAAGACCTACACGAAAACTGAGAACACATTCCGCACTATGTAGAAAACACAATGTGTAAAAACACAATGCGGAAAGCTACATTAAAACGTGTACAACGCATAATACGAATTTTAATAATAAACGCGTTAATGTATTGAATATTAAGGCAGTGTTTATATAATATACTTAATTAAGCCGTGACTATCACCAACTGCTTCCGGGTTTGGCTCGCCTCCTTTAAGGTTCCAGCATGGAAGGGAAAGTAAAACGGAATTTGAACTCAGTGATTTGCTCGACTGGGCCATGCTGCCATGGTGACACATCTGTCTGGAGATATTGACTACCTTGCCTGGTATACAGGAGGTCGTGGGTTCGATCCCGACCCTGACGATGACTGCTGTATATTTGGAGTTTATGATGTCTCATCATCATCATCATCACGGTGGCTAGGAGATGTTAACTACCTCGCCTGGTATACAAGAGGTCGTGAGTTCGATCCCGACCCTGACGATGCCTGCTGCTGTATATTTTGAGTTTGTGGTGTCTCATCATCACGGTGGCTAGGAGATGTTGACTACCTCGCCTGGTACACAGGAGGTCGTGGGTTCGATCCCGACCCTGACGATGCCTGCTGTATATTTGGAGTTTGTGGTGTCTCATCATCATCACGGTGGCTAGGAGATGTTAACTACCTCGCCTGGTATACAGGGGGTCGTGGGTTCGATCTCGACCCTGACGATGCCTGCTGTATATTTGGTGTTTGTGGTGTAACAAATCATCACGGTGGCTAGGAGATGTTAACTACCTTGCCTGGTATACAGGAGGTCGTGGGTTCGATCCCGACCCTGACGATGCCTGCTATATATTTGGAGTTTGCGTGTATCTACCCGTTGTCATGTGGATTTCTCAGGTTTTTCCCTCCGCATTGAGAAACGTGCATTTAGACTATTCGGCTGCTATACATTTCTACATGATAAGCCACATAATTTGGCTATCATGTGTGGCCAGGTTGCTTAAGGAAAATAGAGCTATACTGTATATAGCTCAGTGGGCCATGGTAAAATAAAAATAGTTTTTAGTTCATAGTCTCCTCTAGCAACGTTTTGCATTTCCCTAGCAATACTTTGCAAAAGCGACGAGCAACGCATCTGGCAAAACAGGACATGCAGATCGAGGAGCAGTTTGCAGGTGTGTGTTGAAGATTCTGTGCATGTGATGCTCGAAATAGTCTCGTGACATTTAATACCTGTCAACCCATACGGCTTTACCTGTATTCTTAGGTCTATACGGCGTACAGCCATTTCGATACGGGCAAAAATAAATACGCAAATTGTTCTACTTGTGTGTCTCTCCCTTGTGATGGGACTTTGTAGGATGAACGTTGAGATTTATAAGGCCACGGGGTGATCAATAAGGTCTGAATTGGTCTGTAATAAAGTAGTTACTGATCAGGCGTGGACAGGTTTGCATTTTTTCTTGAGACGACGTTTCACGATTTTGAGGTCCACGCCAAGGCTTATTTTCCTCACTGAATTTCTCCCAGGCCGCTGGTAAGACTGTAGTAGGATGTGAATACAGGACGGTACTGAATAACGTCAAAGCATATTTTTTGTAATCACTATTTTAATAAGAGCACATACACAATGATTTGTAATATCGCATTACAAATTGTTGTTGGGCTTTGAGACGTTCACCGTTTATCTAAAATAATTAGGATGTTTTTTTACATTCCAATTATAGTGACGGGAGCCACGAAGCAGTCCGTAAAGAGCCGCACGCGGCTCCGGAGCTGCAGTTCGCCGACCCCCGACCCAGACAGACCCGGCTGAAATGAACCCGACTGCTCTTCTCAGGTCCAAGCTTCGTGACAATGGCCATCGTGGAGCGTCTCAACGCGACCCTGAGGCCGGGTGGCGGCAGCGGTGGCGGCGGCGACCTCTGGTCTAACAAGGGTCGACGTGCGAGCACTGGCACGGACAGTGGCAGTGCCAATGAAAGCGCCGAACCGGACCTGGACCGGCTGCTGGCCGCCTCGGCCTCCCAGGTTCTCCGCTCGCGGTTGGAGTTCGTTCCGGCAGCTTCGAGCGGCGACGCGAGCTCCCGTCTGGCGGCGCTTAGACTCAAGTACAAACCGCTCGGACGCCGAGGGGATGCCGCCATCGCGCCGTCTGCTTCCTGGCCGGGCGTCAGCAGCACAAGCATCCCACCGTCAGGTAGGGGCAACTCTCCCTGGCGCAGGCAGTGGCCTAGTGGCAGTGTGGGACGACGAGGGTCGATTTGCACTGCGGATCGCAGAACTTAAAATTATAATTTTTATTGAAGGGGCGGTGAGTGGTGGTACAGTGGTTACCACACTGTGCTATGGACATAGTGACCATGGTTAATATCATTCTGTCACCAGTCACTCATCAGCTAATGCCTTAGCATCACCCCCCACCCTGAGCCACTGCCTGTCGGTGCAAATTAGACTAGAGAGCTCCCGATCTCGGGGATATGTTCATTGCAACTCTGTAGGTTTTTGTTGTTGTATAGTGCAGCTCTCTAACGTGTGTTCGGGTCGTGCCGCGTGTTGTTCGGCATGGTGTCCCATCCCGGCAGGCGGCAGTGGCAGAAGCACTGGTCCGGGCCCTCCCCAAGATGGGATCCCAGCCCCCCAGAAGGTGCTGTTTGCGGCGGAGAGGCTGGTGCTGACCTGGGAGCGGGTGCAACGGGTGGGCGCGGGCCTGCACAACCTGGGCAACACGTGCTTCCTGAACTCCACGCTCCAGTGCCTCGCCTATACGCCCCCGCTTGCCAACTACCTGATGTCGCGCGAGCACACGCGCGCCTGTGAGTGAGCCGCGCGCACCCGGGAAACACAAAGACAAAGATCCCCCGCTTTAGCCTTAAGAGATTGTTGGGAAAGCGCTGCTACTGAGCACCGATGAAGGCCAGCATGGCACACAAAGGGGTGCTAGCCACCCACCTCCTCGTGTGCCGTCCTGTCTTTCGATATTGTTTAACAGCACTTGCCCCAACTCTATTTTAAGGTTATAGGGGTGATATTTGTTTTGTGCTTGTTAGCAACACTTGCCCCAACAGTCTATTGAGGCTATAGGGGTGATCTTTATCTGTGTGTGTGTGTGCGTACTTGCGCCTACAGGCACGCAGAGCGGGTTCTGCATGCTGTGCATCATGCAGAATCACCTGGTCAAGACTTTCTCCAACCCCGGCAGTGCCATCAAGCCCCTCTCTGTGATCAATGACCTCAAGAGTGAGTGTGCAACCCCCTACCCCCACATCTCACGCCCCGCTTTACCTCCACTCTACCTTGGAATAGGTGGACTACCCACATTTTACCCCAGCACACGCGACCTGCCGATCGACTCCTCGATGTGGTGTGCACCCACGTATACTGCTGGATAGACAGGTGGTGGGGGGGGGAGGTAGGGGGGGTGGGATTTAATAAACTTAAAAAAACGCTCTCATTTAACTGCCGGCGCCGCGATGTGAAATCGAACCGGCGACCTCTGCACTACAATCCCAGCGTGGCAGCACACCCCACCCCCCCCCACTACGCTCGTGTCTCCATGCAAGGGGCTTTTCACGACTCGTCTCGACAGCGCGGTTGGGCGGGCAGGGTCGCGCATCGTGGTTTTGTTGACGCCCGCCGCGGTGTCTTGCGCGTTCATTTCTTTATTTTCCCCCCCTCCCTCTCCGCCGAAGGAATCGCGCGACACTTCCGCTTCGGCAGCCAGGAGGACGCTCACGAGTTCCTGCGCTACACCGTGGACGCCATGCAGAAAGCCTGCCTGAGCGGGCACACCAAGTGAGAGCCCTCGCCTCGCGCAGCAATACTGGAGCGTGTGCTCTAATGCCCTCTGCTATACCACGCAGCGCTACACAATGCATGGCCGAGGGGTGGAGGGTGGGGTAGGGGGAGACTTAATGACGTCGGCATGATGCAAGAATCCGGCTTACCGCTTACTGGATATCTGTAAAAAAAGATTTGTAGCTCATAGGATTCCTCCAGTATCAATGAAGATTAGGATTCTGAACGCTGTGGGATGTGGGTGACGTCACCACACGGATTTGCCTTTTGACTTCACCACCCTGGCGCACTTGCGCGACCGCTCAACAGCCAGCAAAACTCTTTTTTTCTCATAGTACGATGATGCCCTCTAGTTGCGCACACCGCAAAACAATAATGATGCCCTTTACCAGCACTGCAAAAAGGCCAACTTCTTCTTTGTATGGCCTATAGAGAGCACCTGTTAGAGGTTCACTTGTGGTGGATTCAGCCATTCTATTGCCTTCTCTGAGAATTGGTGAATTGTAGATATAATCACTCACCACTCACCCACTGATCACCTACTCACTCACCCATGACTTTCACGGGCACATTTGGGGCAGCGCGAGGTCACATGGTCCACGATTTGGAGTTCGTAGCGGAAGTCGCACACAGCAAGAGGAGAGAGTCTTTGATTCTCCACGTGTGCACCAGGTATCAACATCATCCGTGGATTGTGCAGATCTGGCTGACCGTTGTTTCCGTGGAAGATCGAAACTGGTGTATTGTCGTGCGTGCCATAATATAATCACAATTGTCATGGTTGTGATGGCACACAGCAATGCTGTAAGAGTGATTCTCTTTTCCGGCACACACATGGCGGAGGCCTTCATCCAACAGTGTATTGACGTAGGGTTGCAGTTGACATTCGTTATGAAACCAAATATAGTCACACTCATTCACCAGTTTCTGCCGACTGAATTTCAATTTAAAATTATCGTTAGCTTCCTCCCAATGTTTTTTTTGTAACTTGCATCTTGCAGTTGCTGCTGTGTTGATGTGTTTTTTATTTTGTGTGATATTTTTATAGGCTGGACAGGCAGAGCCAGGCCACCACACTGGTCCATCAAATCTTCGGCGGTTACTTAAGGTCAAGAGGTCAGAAGTCAAGACATTTACCTGCGTTGATCACGCACACACGCACGCATTTAACATCGCTTGTTTCTCTGCGCCGTCTCTGCGTCTGTCCTGAAATGCAAGGGGCCTGTTTTGCACCGTTTGGCAGGTAATGTGGCCCAGCGGTAGCTGCAGAGGTCCACGGTTTGAATCCAGCGGCCGCCCTAGTTAATTCTGCGGTGTAAATTGACCGTAATAATATTACTACTCGCCATCTGCTTCACAGTGGACGTTATAGATTAATTCACGTCATTCGCAAGAGTCGACCATCGTGTGCCGAAGTCACGGTCTAAAGTTGAAAAATTTGCCGCGAGTTATTTAATTGGAATCCCTACATCGATCGTTGCCTTCCTACTGTGGAAACTTGGAAGGACCCTCCTGAAAAAGAATCATGTGATTCAATGAGGCATTCCTGAGTAAACTAGCGGAATGATTAAAAAACCTTGCCACCTCTGCCCCTCCAGAGGTCAGCGCTTTTGGGTCAGAAGTCTGGCACAGGTACCCGATCTTAGAATTTGGGCCGAAATCCGGCCCTGGTCAGCACTGTGGACATGCGGCCTTCTTGCGTTTGCTGACACCGTTTCCTGTCTCTTGTCCTGCGCTGCAGTGAAGTGTTCAGTCTGCAAAGGTGTCTCGGACACTTACGACCCGTACCTGGATATCGCCCTGGACATTAAGGTGCGTTCAATGACCTCGGTCACATTAAGGGTGAACCATTCATGTGCGCGAGTGTGTGTGTGTGTCTTCCTCGGGCATGGGGAGCGGTAGTGCAGTAGTTAACGCACTCCGCTAACCACTTTTCCGCTCACGACCGATAACGGTGGCGAATATTTGAAGCGGTCTGGTCCGCTCCTGTTCCTTCAGCACTGCTTGTCTTGCAAGTTCTGGTGGGATCGGGCACATTCCAGGCAACTTGGTCATAGACACTCACATTGGTATTTGATGAATCGATGACTTATTAGCTGTCTGATTGATCCCTGACCTGAGCTACCTTCCGGAATAATTATCGCTTCCTTTGCTCCATGTGTCTCTGCTCCCCCCCCACCAACCTGCCCTCCTCCCCTAGCATTCGAGTGACGTGGTCCGAGCCCTCGAGCATTTTGTCCGGCCCGACTTGCTGTCCGGAGACAACGCGTACATGTGCCACCGGTGAGCGAGAGTCCACGCGCCAGGACAGGGAGCGGCCCCGTCAGCTGGGGTTGGCCCCAGAGTAGCGAACTTGCGTGGTCTCGCACGCACGCACACGTTGTTCGCCAGATGCTCTGGTGGAACGGCAACTTTAGCGAGGGAAGCGATAGACAATTTTGTACACAATATAAAAAAACACGGTATGCAGCTTTGATAATTGTTAATTTTTGTACACTTTCTGTTTTTCCTAAGTGGCCCACAAATATCGGCCGCTACTGGTGCGCAGTTATGATGACCACGATAATGACAACGATCTTAATTGGTGATGATTTTGATGATCTGCCTGGTCGCATTTATTATCTTGTCGATAACATTGGCGATAATGATTTTGATGACAATGATGATCACCGACAATTTTTGTGATCAACTATAGTCACGACGATGATGGTTGATTTTATTGACGATTATCACAATGATAATGGTGATAATTTTGATCGCAGTGACGACGACGATGATGATGACCAAAATTACCTTTGTCTCCACTGCCCCCCCTCCTCCTGTCTCAACTCAGCTGCCACAAGAAAGTTCCGGCCTCCAAGAGGTTTTCCATTCACCGCGCTTCCAGGGTCCTCACCATCTCCATGAAACGCTTCGCCAACTTCACCGGCGGGAAAATCAGCAAGGTGCGTAGGCGGGCAACTCCCCCGGAGCCACTCCGCGGGCTGTGCGGGCGCCTGGGTCTTGTTTAATTCCGTTATCGGTGGAGTCGCCTTGGTGGTTATCCCCCGGGGGTGATGGCGTGGGAAGGGGGCGGCCCAGGTGAAGCGGAAACCACACGGAGGGGCGAGCCTCAGCGCCTGTGCCAAACTGGTTGATGGGGAAAGGGGCCACTGGAGGTTATAAGGGAAGAGCGATCGGAGAGGCGTTTAGTGTATTATATTTTGGGACTGGCAAAGGAGGTCCCATGATGTAGATGCTCACCCCGAGCTCTCATTACTCTGACAGTGCATTGTCTTGGGGCTGTGTACGCCTTTTGGCGTCCTCTGGTCTAACACCGTTTGAGACGAGGCTCAAAAGAAAGCTGTCTCTGGTGTGTTTCAAGGACAATACATATATTATAAGAGTGTGTTTTTTATTTGCATTCTGACCACAAGCATTGTGGTTAATGCAGACATGATTCCTTGTAAAAGGTTTCTGTTTGGTGTTTTAACATCTCAACATATTTTGGTACTGGCAAAGGAGGTCCCATGATGTTTAACGTTGTACATGAGTGCCGTCAGCTGTCAATCGCCTACAGCCAAATGAGTGGGGAGCAATGCCCGGCGTAAAAACAAAGCCGCCAATCATGCAAAACGCAAGCCAGGCTATAAATAAATATTTAAATATTTACCTGATGGAAGAACTTCATCGCTAAACATTTGATCGCCGATGAGATCATTCCGAGGACAAACGCGACGGAAAGTGTTTGCGTAATCCTCGCGCATGATTTTTACTGCTGCCCGATTAGGCAGTAGATTATTTTCCGAGCTGAACAAACATCAACGTAGGACCACAGAGCTTGGGGAAGTGTTGGCACCAGTCCTGGCTGCTCCTTTCTGCTTTGCCTGTGGCTTCCCGCGCGTCTTTGAATCTCACTTCTCTGTCTCTCACGCAAAGGGGGGGTTGAGCAAAACCTGCGCGTCACAAACTCTGCATTATTATTGTAACATGTAAACGAAACGTTCACGAGTGGAACAGGTGACGCTAACATCGCCCACCCACACACCCCCCCCCCCCCCCCAACATCACCCTGCGCATCCGTCGCCCCGCAGGACGTGGGCTACCCCGAGCGGCTCAACCTCCGGCCGTTCATGTCGGTGCCAAACGGCGCTTCCCTCCACTACAGCCTCTACGCCGTGCTCGTGCACTCCGGCTACAGCTGCTACGCCGGGCACTACTACTGCTACGTCAAGGTGGGAGGCGACCGGTCGCTGCCCCTGAGTGGTCACAAGCCGATAGCCGTGTAGACTGGTGGGCCAAGTGTGCTGTTAGCGAGCGCCTATTATTAAGGTCTGCACTGCACACGAGTGGCAGGTTTGCGGGCAATGTCACTCCCCTGGCTGTTTTTGTCTCCGATGCTGATGCATGCATACTGCACCAGGTACTCGTTTAAGGCCGAGTTGACCTAGGAGAGGCCCAGGCCCATGAGTGGGAATCCAACTCGGGCTGCTGGGTTTAAAGTGCAGTGCGATGAGCACTACACGACCGCTCCCCACTTGCGGTTGCACACGCACGACACGCACGCATACACTTGCACGCTGTGCGTAACGCATCGTCGGTGTTCAGGATTGTGATTGACGTGCGCTTTGTTTATTAAGAGGCCGGCTATAATCCGTCCGCGTTGTTCTCCCACCGTTCAACACCATCCCCTCCCGAGCAGGCGAGCAACGGGCAGTGGTACCAAATGAACGACTCCCACGTGAGCCTGAGCAACATCAAGGTGGTGCTCAACCAGCAGGCCTATGTGCTCTTCTACATCAGGTACGCTACTCCCCTCCCCCGCATGCCGCCCCCTCTCAGTGCCGCCCCCTAAACCCCAGTGCTGACCCCATGAACTCCACTGCCATTTTGTTCAAGTGCCGCCCTCTTCCAGTGCCACTTGTCGGAGCAACGTTGTCCTCTTTGTAGCCCCCTCTCACTGCCACCACCTCCCAGTGCCCCCCCTCTCCCGCTACCCAGTGCTGCTCCCTTGAAGTGCCATTACCTCCCTAGTGCTGCCAGAGCCCTCAGTAATTTCAACTCTTGGTGTTATCCCCAAAATTCCAGAGCCATTCCCTTAAAGTGCTGCCCCTTCAACTGCTGCCCCTTCAACTGCTGCTTCCATCCTGTGCCTTCCCCTCTCGTTGCTGCCCCATACCGCCAGTCCCACATGTCCATCACCCCACAGGGCCAAATGGAAATTGCTGGATTAAATGGTCTGCCCCACCCCCTCTGCCCCACGGACGCGCACACGCACAATCACGCACGCACACGGACGCAGGGTCCAGGATGCCAAGAAGCCTGGGGATGGAGGGCTTGCCCCCCAGGGGAACGAGACCCCCGCGCGTGCCCTGGCGGCCGGGCAGCACGATGGGGCCGGCGGCAAGGACGCACGATCGGGCGGCGCCCCCCCACCGGGCTCGTCGCAGCGACCACCGCTGCTCCACAAGGTGGCGCCACACTTCTGCTGCTGCTCCTTCTTCTCCTCCTCCATTCCAGCCTTCATGAAATCCAATGCTGGGTCCATGGACCACAAGCAGTAGTCCTCCTTCGCCTTTCTATCGTAGACGAGCCGTTGGCATTGCGTCCACGTGAGTCCCCGTCGTCTTTGCCCAGTGCCTCCAGAACAACGCTTTCATGCACATATATACTAGGGTTGTTCACCGGTTGGCTACGTACGGTGCGAAAGAAGTTCAACATGCATACGTACTTGCATACGAACCGGTTCCTAAATGGGTTTACCGTTCTTTTTTTCCCAAACGGCGTCTGGAAAAACCGGTACCAATGTGCCGAGTGGCCGCGCGAGCGAGCCTACGAACCGCACGGCGGCCCGAGTCACCGCGTGCACTCGTTTGCCGACGCTTCTCGGTTACAAGTTTAAAAAGGCGCCGCCCTGCAATCGCTCGCTCGTGCCACTGCTGGCAAAAAGGGATTCCACCGCAGCGAATTCTACAGTGGGGGGGTATTTGGTCTAGGGCTCTAGGCTCACCAGACGGCTCTGAAGATGTGCGCGTACCCACACCGTACCCCACCGCACGCAGCCTGCTTGAAGCCGTTCGTAGACTTTGATGCCTTGCAATAGGCGTCTATTGGGTGTTTGAACATCTTCACACGTTTGTTTTATTGCGAGAAAGGGGACAGCCTCTTATATTTCTGTTATCATATTGGTACTGGCAAAAGGGTCCCGATGAGATCATCATTCGCACTGCTGTGTGGACAGGGGCGGTGGGGGTTCTAAGAATCTCGCCCCCAATGTTTAAACTGTCGCGCCAGGAGACGGATGGCAAGTCCAGTGCGCTGACCCCGCAACACCACCACTGTGGCAGCTCCCCCTTTCTTTTCTCCTTTATCCAAATGTAACTGTGTTGTGTTTATTGCCGGACAATTCTGAACGTGTGGCAAACTGGTTTCCCGTTTTAACATCCTTTTCCACGTAGTTAAGAGGAAAAAAATATTTTCACAACCCTATTATATATACGTACATACACACACGATACGCACATACTACACACAGTGCACACTTAGGATACACGATACGCGTGTCATACACTCGATAAACACGTATGATGCACGAAGCAAACATGATAAACACATACGATACACACGATACACATGTGCAATTCACACGTAATAGGCTCGATAAACACGTATGATACACGAAGCACACATGATAAACACACAGATACGCGATGCACACAATACACGATACACGTGTACGATTCACACATAATAGACTCGATTAACACGTATGATACATGAAGCACACATGATACACACGATACGCGATGGAAACAATACACATGATACACATGTACGGCACACGATGCGCACGTACAATTGACGACTCGTACGATATACGATGCACACGTACAGTTCACGATACGTGCTTGCACACGAACTGTTGCTATTGTCTGCACGTCGCTCCTGTGCCTCTGTCGTCTTCCGCTGCGCTTGTCGCCGGGAGCCCGTCAGGGCTGCAGCTTGGCTCAGCACGGCGAGGCCACCAATCGGTAGCGTGCCACCGTCGAAGGAGTTGCAAATTTTTGACGTGTACGGACGAGCGGCGTGTTTGGCATGGGGGTAGTGGCGGCGGGGGGTGGGGGGCGGTGGCGCTGCCAGGGTTGTCGCGCTGCGTCTCGAATCTGGCGACCCAAGGTCGATTCCCAGCTACGACCGACGTCGGTCTGAACTGGTCCTTGGTCGGACGATCCCATGATTGGCACAGCGCCGGGAGGCCTTCACCCAGCACTGTTTGACAGAGAGATGTGGATGAGTTCTATGTTTTAATGTTCCACGAGGTTCTTTTGTACAGCACTCCAGTGCCACCCTTTTAAACCGGTCCGATGGATGAGGTTGGACAAACGTGTTTCCGCGATTGCACTTCTCTGGTGTTGGTGATCGCTTCCTGTAGACCTACGTTTTTACGTTTTAAGCACTCGTGCCACCGAGTCCCCTCTTTGCTTGTACGGCCGAAGCCAGTGCCAAGGGGATAATAGTCGTCTTCAGCGGTAACCGGCCAACGAGTTGTCATCGGTCGGCTAATTGTTAACGAGGTCGTGAGGGTTTACCACTGTTCCGTCCGTTAACTCGCCCCGCCTTCCGCTTCAGAATTTCGACTCTGTTATCGTGGCAAGACCGGACCAGCTTGGAGTTTCCGTGCAACGCGGCCCAAACACCGGGGCGTCCACCCCGTCCACCGCGCCGTTCGGCCCGCCCCGCTGCCAGCCGAGAGTGACGAATGCTCCGGCGTTTATCGACATTTTCGCGAAGAAGCCCAAAGCGCCGCCGGACGCAGCCGATACTCCGCGGCTCTCCGTTTCCGCGCCTCCTCCGGCAAAACCCCCAGCTCCGCCTGCCACGGCCAACGCCACCGCCGCCGACGTGCCGCCCAGAGAGAGGATCGCGGTGGCGGTGTCGCCACGCCCCACGCCACCAGGCCTCGACGGGGCCGCGGAGGGCGGAGGGAGCGCGGGGAAAGCGTCGCGGGAGCCGCTACCCAAAGAGGCGCTGGTGGCCGACAAGCAAAAGCTGAAGACCCACGGCTCCGCCGATAAAAAGTCTCCGGAGCCGAGCGGGAACGGCGCGGACAAGACGATCGTCGGTGCCACCGAGCGACAAGGCGACGGCGACGGCGGCGTTGGCGGGGCCCTCGCGAGCGCGCAGAGCGAGGACCCGGTCGGGGCGTCCGAGGAACAAGCTGGCTGCAGTGCCCGACAAAGGGCCCACTCAGAGGCGGCGAGCGCGGGCGGTGAAAAGACGACCGCCATGCAATTGTCGCCCAGTCCGATGAAGATTGCGCACAAGCCCAGGCCTCTGCTCGGAAAGCTCTTCCTCGTGTCGCCGAAGGTGACTGCGGTGTTTCTGCGTCGAGGCTTGGAGTGGGTCGGTGTCTGTTTTGTTCGTGTGTGTCTCGGGCTTTGTGTAAGCGTTGTGATGTTTGTGTACAGTACGTGTGTATATGTGGGGAGCGGTGGCGCAGTGGTTAGCACGCTCCACTACGAACCTGGCGACCCGACTTCGATTTCCTGCTCACGGCCAACACCGGTGACAATTATCTGAACCGGTTCTGGGCCTCCCCTAGGTCGACTCGGCTTCAATTGAGAACCTTGTGCGGTGTGTAAACATCGCCACGAGGGAGACAAAGGCGGCCGGGCGTGGTGTTGGCCACCCACGCCCTCGTGTGCCATGCCGGCCTTCATAGGTGCTGCTCGCTCACGGCCCTTGGCCTGACAGCCTGTTAAAGGCCGCACGGTGTATCCCTTGTCTTGTGTGTGTGTACGTGCGCGTGTGTTTATGCCCTTGCCTGTGCACTGCCCGTCCCCCCCCCCCTCCAGGCCACTCTGCAGGTGGGCCGCCCGGCCTGGCGCGTGAACGGGGCCTCCGTGCCGCTATCCCCGCCCCTCGTGGTGGCGACGCCGTCGTCGTTGCCGGTCGGAAAGTGGTCGGTCTCAAGCAGCCCCGTGCGCTCCCCCTCCAGGTGGTTCCCCGCATTCACCGGCGCTCCACTGCCTTCCTAACGCTACTCAACCACATTACCACATTGGCTCTGTCCGTCTTCCCATAACCAAGGGGGAGGGGGGTGCTGGGGGGCATGATAACACTTGTGAAGATGATCCGATTAGCACCGTTGGCTACGTACGGTGCGAAAGAAGTTGAGCATTCATTCATTCATACATACAACTGAACGTCCGTATGAAGTTGTGCAGCTATTTGAGACTCACTCCATCTTGCCTCCCTCCCCCTTTGCACCAGGCCGTCGCCTCTCAGCCCTGGCTGGAACATCACCCCCGCGTTCCCATCCTTGTGCCGTTCCCCGCCCGGGAAAATCAAATCGGATGCTCTGTCCAAACCCAACGGAACCGCGCACAGCGGAGGAGGAGGGGTGGCAACTCCCAAGTCATCGTCGTTACCGCCGCCGCTGCTGTCGCCTCTCGTGGCGAATGGAAGCCACGAGGCTGCGGCGCTCGGGAAAGCGAACGGCAAAATTAAACACAACCAGCAACAGCAGCAGCAGCACAAGCAAGGCGACAGTTTAACCAAGAGGAATGTCACCCCGGCGGAGACTTCGGCGACATTGGCCGTGGCGACAGACGTCAGCACTGGCGGTGGTGACAACGATCGCAGCAGTACCACGGCACCGAGGGAGAAGCCTTGGGGCGCAGGCGGGAGGTTGGAGGGCATCGGGCAAGTTGAGAAGGCGGTGGCGGCCGAGGTGGTGGTGGAGGAGGAGGAGGAGGTCACGACCGAATCCACTCCCAAGCCCGCCTCGGGCAAACGCAGGAAACGAAAGAAACGGAAGCGAAACCGCGACAAGGAGCGCGACGACGACCTCCAGCACCACCGCGGTGAAGAAGGTGGAGACGGAGGAGAGAGAAGCGGTGCGCCGCGCACGGAGACCGGGGAGACGGGAGACGACACGGCCGACAGAGCGAGAGGGAAGAAGAGGAAACGCGCGCCTGTCGAGTCCCGCCAAGACGCGTAAGTTCAATTTCTAAACGTCGACGTTTTACCGTCGTGACGAGTGTTTAAAATATGAATATTCCACAGCCACCTTGTCAGTCCACTGTTGGATGAAGGCCTGGGTGGTTGTTGTTGAACACCATGCTGGTCACTGCAAGTTGATGGAAGGGTAAGGGGGGAGGCATCACTTGACATTGAAACTCAAGTTTCCAGGTTCATAGCATAGTGAAAATAACCACCGTGTAATAATGGTTACTATTGCACATTCCAAGTAATAATTCAAAAAAATACTGTAGCACACAGCCCTTAGTTGATCCATTTTCTTACTCGGGGTTGTTTGACCATGCTTCATGATTTGGTTAGTTCTGGTTGGTGAAATCAGAGGGGGTGCCCACCACAGTGGCGAGATGTTAACTACCTCTCCTGGTATGCAGGAGGTCGTGGGTTCCATCCCCACCGTGACGCCTGTACAGTCTATTTGGAGTTTTGCATCTTTCCCCGTGGTTGCGTGGATTTTCCTCCGGGTCCTCCGATTTTTCACTCCACATTTAGAATCAACGAGCGTGTGGAGAATTTGGCTGCTATAGATTTACGCGCGATAAGCCACTTCGTTGAGGTATCATTTGTGGCCAGGTCACTTCTCAAAAATAGCCATATAGCTCAGTGGGCCCCTTTCCTGGTGAAATAAAAATTAGTTTGTATACGATGCGGCTCCCGGGTGTCTTTTTCAGCTCCGTTGCTGCTGATGAGGACTCGGAGCCGAAGAGCGGTGGGGAGGGGAAGAGACGACACAAAAAGAAGAGGCAGAGGAAGTCGAAGCGGGAAGCCGAGACTCCGGAAGGATCCGCGCTGGCCGAGGAAGTCGTGACAACCTCCAACAACAACGACTCGGCGACGTGAGTAAACCGACGCTGCGGCCAGGGAGACTTAACGATTACTGATTTTAGTTTAATCTCAAACTCGCCAACAAAAACCCTAGCCCCTGGCCTAGACCCAACCCCCCCCTCCCTCTTACTGCCCGAGCTCCAACGCGAATAGAAACCAACAGCCGTGTTCTCGCCCGTCTTGACCAGCATGGAAGAGTAGGCCAAACACATGCCCTCTTGAGTAGAGGGGCTCTAGAGTCTCCGTCCACTCGAGGAGCTCTCGAGCGTTGCCCCCTCCTCCGGTGCGGGAGGCCCTTCTGCTGGCCGTGGCGGGACCGGAGCAGTTGCAGGGGCTGCACCTTTACCCGTGTCTCCTCCACCCACAGCGAGTTCCATAACCTGGAGGAGCGTTCTGCCACCGGCACCGCACCGCGTGACAAGACGAAGAGGCGCAAGAGAAAGCGCCACCAGGAGGAGCTCCTCGGGCCTGACACCACCGAGCGGACGAAGGCCGACTTCCCGGAGGCGGACGCCGGGCCCCCTAAAATCAAAAAGAAGAAACGGCGGCACTCCGGAAGAAGCGGGCGGCCGTGAGCGTGGGGCCGGCAAGGTGGAGGAGGTGGTGGAAGAGGAGGCCGATGCAGGCCAGGAGGAGCAGCTGCCGGCACTGATGAACGGGCAGGCCAGCGCGGCAGAGCGAGCACACGGTGATTGTCCACGCGCGTTTCCATTCGCATTGGCCCTGTCCTTCTGGTTTCTCCCGGTTGCGTAACGGTTGCGTGTAACTTAGATTTTAGGCTTTACGCATCTATTACTTAAATGTTAAACTTTATTCGGGGGTGTGGCAGGACGTTTGCGTGTATGCATGTTGAACTTCTTTTGCGCCAGTACGTCGCCGACCGTGCTCATCGGAGCCACGTTTGACTTCATCGCCAGTTGTCGCAGAGGTCAAACGGCGAACTCGAAGTGCGGATGTGGCGTGATGCTGAATTTCACCGCAGAGTGCCACTGTAACGCTCACCGCCAATTTAAAAAGGGTGCGGTCCGCTTGCAAAAAGTGGCACCGGCGTTTCACCGCCAACGCTCATGCCCGTGTCGCCCCGTGTGCCCCTGTGCCCCCACGCCGCGTGCGCAGTGGCGCCGGTGCGGTGGGACAGACACGCTCGTGATCGCCGCGGCCTGGCGGAACCCGAGAGGGCGATCGCCCCGCGGAGGTCGGACGTGCTCGGGGAGCTCCTCCGCCGATCGTCGGACCGCGCGTACGGCACCCCAGGTAATCGGCGCTCGCCACCTAATAACCGCACGTGGTATTTCATCGTGGTTGTTGTGGTAGTCGGGATTGTATTATTTTATTTCATAGTCTTGGGAGTTTCGTCGCCAGTGCAACCTGTGGATTTAGGGATCGAGGCTTTGTCCAAGAGTTTCGTTGTTACGGAATTTGGTGGTGGTGGCCATGATGGTGTGGCGGTGCTAGTGGTAGTGCTTTTGGTGGTGGTGCTATTGATGGTGGTGGTGTTGATTGTGGTGGTGGTGGTGATGGTATTAATCGCGGTTGTGGCAGTGCTTGCGATGGTATTGAATGACAGTCATTTCGTGGTGGTGCTGATGGTTTTAATCGCGGTCGTTTTGTTGTGGTCATGCTGCTGTGGTATAATTGTGGTGTTGGCTGTGCTGCTGGCGGTGCAGTGCTCTCGTGGGACGGGCAGCCGTCCCTGGTGAGTCGCGATGCGCAGCGCGACGTCGCGATGTGCAGACACGACCGCGTCACGGACGAGTGGGACGAGGACTTTGACCTGGGCAAGGTGAGGAGCGCTCCGCTCGCAACCCCTCGCCCCCTGCAGCCTGTGCCGTCTCGCGCGACAAACCCGGCGACACGAGTTCGATTCCCACTGTCGTTGTTGCGTCGTCTGTGTGTGTGTGTGGGGTGCGGTAGTTCACGCTGGTGCAGTGGTTAGGGGCCAGTGGTCGTGAAGTGGTTAGCACGCTGTGCTGCAAGCTCAGCAGCCCGAGTTCAATTCCCAGCCGGTCCTAAGTTTCCGCTTGGTCGACTCGGCTCTTAAATGAGTACCTGGTGTGGCGTGTAAACATCGCCGCTGGGGAGACAAAGGTGATCGGGCGTGGTGGCAGCTGCAGCAACCACTTGTGGGCCGTGTGTTCCGTTTAGGACCATTAAATACCTCGTTGGTTGTGCAATATCCCTTAAGGCAGGGGTCCCCAACCCCCGGGCCTGCGGACCGGTACCGGTCCGTGGCCTGTTAGGAACCGGGCCGCACAGCAGCAGGAGGTGAGAGTAGTGAGTCCGCGCGTGGAACCCGCCCCCATTGTTTTATTATTGACCACTTCCGTCCGCGCCTCTTTCCCGCACTGCGCGCTCGTCTCAGTCAAGGTTTTGCTAAGCCCACAAGCTGCTAACCCTAGTAGCCAAAATTAGTAAAAAAACTAATGTCGCTGGAGAGCTTCTTTGAAAAAGGGGAAAGGCCCAATGATCAACCCCCCCCCCCACCCCGGTCCGTGAAAAAATTGTCTTCCACGAAACCAGTCCCTGGTGCCAAAAAGGGACCCTCTACTTATTTCTCTGCGATGTCGATGTCTACCTGTTTGGTTTGTTGCTGTGCTTGCACAGCACCACGGATATCCCGTGTAAAATACATCTGGGCAACCGGCTTAACGGGACCAGCATCATCCGTGTAGCAGATCAAATAAAAAAATGTTAGCTCAAGGACGGCACTCTCCCCAGCAGCCTCTCTGTGCGTGGCCGGATGCGCGGTGCGGTGGTTGGGCTCGCCGGCTCGTCCTCTGTTGCTGTGTGAATGTGTGTGGAGGCGTTAACGAATCCCGTGCTGCTGCTGCCGCTGCTGTTCACGTTGCAGACGAAAAAGGTGAGGAAGAAGTCGCAGCAGTGGAGGCAGTCGCAGGGCAACCTCTTCCAGCAGACGCTCGACTCCAGGGGCCGAGGAGGCCACGCCGAGAGGTTTTGAGGCTGGCACGGACGGAGACCTCGCGGCACAGAAAAGCGTCTCTCTCTCTCCTTCTCTCCGAGACAACACGGACAGAGACATAAACATATCCCGGAGAGCCCCCACACGGGCTGTCGGGGTCAAGTGCTGTTGGCGAGTACCTATTAAGGACGGCACGGCGCGTGAGAAGGGGGTGGTGTTGCTGCAACCGCACCCGCCCGCCTTTGTCTGCCCAGTGCTCAACCTAGCGGAGGCCCAGGACCAGTTCGGATGTTATCCGTGGCCGGGAATCAAACTTGGGCTGTCGCTGCAGCGGCGCCGCTCCTCCATAGGCGGCGGCACATGCACGCGCGCGCATTGAGCGGGCGGAGAGACAAGCAAGTGGGTGTCCTCCCAGGCCACCCAGCGCGCCACCTTCGCCAGCTCTGCTCTATGACGCTGCCTCGCATCGTCGTCAACGCGGACACGCGTCGTCGGCGCCACCGCTGCGAGTCTGGACAAAGCCGCGTTGCGGGGGGCCGGAAGGGAAACCTTCGCCCATCTGAGCCGTCGATGGCCGCGTCGTGACGTCCTCAACCGGGCGGCCGAATCGGCGTCACCTTTGCCGAGTTGTGCTGCCCGTTGTTGGTGGAGGAAGGAAGGAAGGGAGAGGCATCGTCGGCACGGTTTCTGCCAAAAATGCGACGCACCGAAAAAAAGGGGCGGGAGGGGGGCGGCGTTTTGAGAACGTGCGGATTGACGCGTTCGCTCGCACAAGGTTCATCGCGATGGGGCTTTGTGGTGGGGGCTTCGTGGTGGGGGCTTCGTGATGGGGGCTTCGTGGTGGGGGCCTCGCGACGCGGTTTGAGTGCCCACCATCCCCCCCACCTCTCCCACCACTGCACGACGATTGCTTTCATCCGTGGCAGCCGTTAAGTGGCAAATCTGTGGAGGCTGATGAGGGAGGGGGGCGGTGCGGGGAAACTCGGCCGATATTTTCTTTATTAATAAGTGCGCTTTCCGCATTTTTTTATTTTCATACAATTTATTTTAGGTATTATTTAGTCTATAAGAACAAAGAAAGAAAAAAAACACGTAGCAGGATGCCTGTGAAATCCTCTATACTTGAAAAATATAAGCTCGTGTATTAATATAAGACGCGTTGCGGAGAATTGCGGAGGGAAATTAACCGTCGATTTGAAAATTTAAATGTTGTGCATTTTCACACTGACTGTTTTACTTCGAGGGTGCGGAGAGACACGGCAGCAGGTTTGGTGGTTTTAAATCTGAAAACTCGTGGTATTACCACTCGGTGCTTTATTGGGACAGCTGTAATAAGGGGGTATGTCCCCCCCTCCCCTAGGCTTAACAGGAATGACAGCTGAGCATTGGAATTATTTAAATGAAATGTGATGTCATGAGACCCTTTGAAATGTTGGGGGGCATTTACACGGACCCAGTCGTGCGCATCTTTCGGCCTAATCGTAGGCATGTAGTGATTCTTCACCCCTACGTTAATATTAATTTTAACGATATGGGGTTCCAGTTCAATCCGGTAAGTCGGTTATTTTTATTCTTATCAGTTATTTTTATCTCGTTTATACGGTCTCATTTGTATTGTCCGTCTCGTGTGTTCTGTCCAGATCTGCCTCATTAGTTCCGTTCACACGAGTGTCACATTTCCATACAATAATTCGGCGCATGAATTTCTGAAATATTAGATTCTTGCTTGCACAATGCGATGGATGTTCGATACGTATCCATTGCACAATGTGATGGAATAATCATTGCCATACTTGGCAGCATGTTGACAAGTTTTGTGTTACGCTTGGGATGGGGAACCTATACACCCCATGGTCCAGATATGGGCCCACATCTTCACTTCAACAGTCCGTAACCTGACTTCACACGGCCCGTGACTCCCTCACGTCTTGGGCCGCACTAATCGGATATGCTGGAGGAAAATGTTTCCAACACCGTGTGTCTATTAAATACGAGCCCTCGTTATCTTTTGCTTTATTCATCCGGGCGTTCACAAAATAGGTTCAGACAATGCCCTCCACATATCTCGTGCTCTCCACGTAAAAACAGTGCAAGCATTCTTTTGCGCAAACCCATCTTGCCCCCCACAGCCTTCCCGAAAGGCCGACGGGCGTCGTAAAAAAGTTTTTTTATTTTTGTTACATGCCGACGGATGAGCAAAGAGGAGCCATTGTCCGCTTATCATTTATATTCTTTACAGGCGCGACGTCTCGGTGGTTATTCCGAGTCGAGGTGTGCGGCTGGTTGCCCTGGTCCTGTTTGGCCGATTCCTCTGCAAGCGTCTGGTTTCCCCACTTGAGATCCGCAGCGGCGGCGGCGGTCTGTGCCGTGCCTCCTCGGTGTCTCGCGCGGGGAGGCCGGCCGTAGGAGATGGATCCATCTGCTCGCCAACGTCCTGTGTCGCACAGCGTGCCCGGTTGGCACCTCTATTACTATCAAAGCCTTACGGTGTACCGTCCATCGCTATTGAAGGACTCGAGCATTGGGACCGTGTTGATTGCTGGTCTGTAAAACATTTTTATATGCAATATGGTTGTCTTAAGCAGCTGTTAACTATGCAAAATATATATATATACACGTGCCATAGTTAATACGATTTTCTGTACCAAGTGCACGTGAAGCCGTGTTCACATTTCAATGCAGGTGTTTGGGTTGTGCTTGCGGTTAAACCTTTTTTGTGTTCATGAAATAAACCTTGCAGATGGCGCCCCCACCGTTGGGTGTTCCCAGAATCGAGCAAGAGGAAGGCTCGCGGCAGAGGTCGCAATCGAGTACCCGATACCCGTACCCTACCCGATACCCGGCTACCCGTACCAGTAGGGTACGGGTAGCCGTTTGCCCTCCACCTGCTGTACGGACATCGAGACGATGGTTGAATTCGTCCCTAACGCCTCTCAAAGTGTCTTCTTCCACTGAAGTCACCGCTGCCGTGATTCTGTTTTTAGGTCATCCAGATTGGTCGCTAAACACGGTCTTTTGTGCCACCATGCTCTTTGACATTGGTGGATCAATGCCAAAACGCCGTTGAAACACGCTGCACCGCAGTTACGGATTCAGTTTTGCTGAACTGCAGAACGCAAAACTCCTTGTGTTGCGGGGTCACCATCTTGCGAATGACTGAGGCTCGGGGTTGTTTGTGCGCTGGGAGAGGCATCTCACGATAATCATTTGAAACTCTATGCCCCGCCCTTTCAAGTGGTAAGAGTTTCATTCATGGGCGGTTAGTGGTTGCAGAGATGTAGCGATTTCAAATAGGGTCCATCTTTTTGAAACGCCCTGTATAATATGCCCGGTCACTCTTGCAAATGAAACTCCATTTCCCTGGTCCCATGAGTTCTCTCACCTGCTTGCACAATCAACTTGAAACATTGGCTCTTGCCAGCTACTTCAAGCCCTCATTGGGTCCTGGGGGCAGCACTCTGAAGCCACAAGCTCTGCACCTTGTTCCCATCCCAATAATTAGGTTTAAAATCTATAATATAATCAGTCGCTCACAAGGCTTACGTGTTCACGGTAAGAATTTATTGTTATAAACAATAATTGGCAAACAAAAGCATTGACACACAAGCAGTATAAACAGAACGTTATTATCTTAATAGCAACATACTTAACACGGCACGATTATGTACATTGACACGTCACACGGTGGGCAGTCCTACAGCATCGCAGCCTCCGGGCTGGGAAAGGACTCGCCAATGTCCATGTCGGGTTCTCTTTAACAGCACCAACAACTGCAACTCCTCTTATTTGGGATGTGGGCGACAAAACACCACGAGGATCCTATTACCCGCAACGTTATCTTGCAAACTCGCTCCGCTTGTCCGTAGTGATGCATTTTGTTCACTAATAAAATCGCGCGAATTTGCAAAGACCTTGGCGGATAATAGGAAGCCCGTTCCGCAACGCAGGATGGGAAACCGCAGATGATTGCGGTTAACAGGAAGAATGTGGCCGTGGACTTTTTTCGCGGACCACACGGAGTGGTGGATAAAAGGGTTACGGATAGCAGGAGTTTTACTACATTATGCCTTTGTTTTATTCCCGTAGTCAAAGGCGTACAGGAACAAGGACACATTTACACGCGGCAGTAAAGATGTAAGAATCGTTTGATTTATCGATTAACAAACACAATTCGCGTTTAAACTTTATTACCTTTATCTTGTTTTCTGACAGCCAGAGGACCTCCGTCTTGGCCATGGTGGCTCGGCAATCGGAAACGTTGCGAGTTCAAATCGTGGTTCAGAGACTTGACTCAGCCCATCTATCCTTCTGCGCTCGGTAAAATGAGTGCCACTTGGTGGGAGAGATCAACAGTGAACGACCTATGGATTCAACTCCCACAATAGGAATGTGGAATGTCCTCACCACTGGCTCAGGGCTGTAAACACAAGACGAGCACCGCTTCAATGCTCACTTGAGCAGGAGATCTCTGGCGTTTCTGTGGATCTCCAGAGTCAATCCGATAGAAGATTCGGTAGGTGATTTTAGTTGTGGTGGTGTTGGCGAAAGCCCGGGATGGATTCATTGAACCTTCCACGGCGCTCGGAGTCTGGATTCTGCCGACGACGGGCACACGCTAATTCCTAGAGGTTATACTAATTCACGTAACACTGATCAGGGGTTAAAGTTCACCAACAATAAAATAAAACATTGCACATTTGCTCGAGAATACTCAAAACAGAGCTTCTCAACTCCCAGCTCTTATGACCTGCAGACCTATCCATGCGTGTGCAGTGTCGTGTTGCTTGTGTGGGGGGGTGTGTTTGCACTGTCCTCGCAATATCGGGCTAATTCAGGGTTGGTTTGGCCTCCACTATACCAATTTCCCCTTCCCAAAACCACATCATTACCGTGAAGGCCAACTTTTTTTGCCCCGTTTACATTATTGATATTGCTTTTATTGCATACGTACAAGTAGAAACACATGTTTCATGTATAATCATTATTGAAAAATCACACGAGCAAATTCTAGATCGCACAATCCAATTTTGCTGCGGTAGTAGTAGCGGCTGCTGTGCCGTGCGGGATTCGGCAGGGACCTGTACGGGTCGCATCACGTTTTCGCGCGGCGTGAAGACCGGGGCTAACGAGAACAACTTCATCAAGGCAGCGGTCGTTTTGCACGGCGCAAATTGTCTGAGCTCACCTGAGCGCGATAGAAATGTAGAAAAGTTATCAATAATAATGACAGTGTGGACACAAGCCCAGAGCTGCCCGAAAGCCTGACCAAATTACATAGAGGGCCTTTAGATCATTTTTTAAGGTTCCACCAAAAAAATATAAAAGCCTGCTTTTTTCGATTAAAGCTTTCGTGACTGCAGGGATTAATCTTCTTGGTTCTTTCGGTAAAGTCACGTAGAAGGGAAGTAATAAAATAATAAAAAAGCATAATAAATTATTAAAATATTATTTTATTATGTTTTATTTTTATTATTTTATTACTTCCCTTCTACGTGACTTTAGAAGGGAAGTAATAAAATAATAAAAATAAAACAATAAAATATTGAAATATTATTTTATTAGTTTTATTATTTTATTACTTCCCTTCTACGTGCCTTTACCGAAAGAACCAAGAAGAGGAGAGCCTGCTTTTTCCTTCGCCGTTATTTTGAGGACTCGCTGTATTTGTGTACAATTGTGTAGAACAGTGCAGGGGTGAGCTCCGCGCAAGTGGCGTGGCGCGTGTGGTGGGTCTGTGCGGTAATGCTGGGGTGGTGCAGCAGCCACGAGCTCTGACGTTGATGGGACGCGCTACTCTCGCCACCGAAAAAAAAAGTTCGTATTTAAACGGCGACGACGACAAAAAAATCTCGGTCTAACGACGAACGCTCGCCCGTCTCGACCTTCAAAAGATAAGGAATGCATCTCTGTTAGCTGTGCAAAAAGAGTTCGTTCGCTGACAAAACCGGACACGTGGTCCAGAAGGTCGAGCACCTGGAATCTGGGACACACAACAGCTTCGCAATTTTCAACTTCATATCGGCTCGCAGCAAAAAAAAAAAAATCGGGGGCTCCGTTATTTTTATTCGGTGCCATTCCACACACACACACACACGGAGTGACAAAAATAATTTTACAAATGCGCCCGATCTACAATTACTCCTTCTCCACTGGCACACCCGAGCCAGGCCAGCGCCGGGCCATCACGGCACAAGACTTGGAGGATGTCTGAATCTGGCTTGTGGCACTGCTCTGCCTCTGCAGTGGAAAAGCAACCCGGAGCCTCCAGAGCCGTGCCAGGCTGGCTCCGTGCCAGGCTTGGCTCCGTGCCAGGCTTGGCTCCGGCTCGGCTCGGTTGTGCGGCGGAAAAAGAGATATATAAGATGTAGATTGCAATATTGATATATATCCAGCTTCTACGAAGGAATACTTTTTTATATTATAAATTAATAGCGTATTGTCGATTTGAAAATGGCAAATCATTGGTGGGGGTATGGCAAGTGGATAAAAAAAAACTTGCTTTGAAAGCATTTTACAGGCTCGGTTTAGAGCAATAACCATTGTACCCACAAAGTTTGTGCAGGTTCCGCTCACTGAACTTTGGAACGTCAACGTCACTTGGGAACGCGAGGGATGCCGCCGCGCGACATGACGGGCTAACGCGACGCCGACTGTCGGCCGGCTCCATTCGGTCTCCGGGCACGGGCGGTCGAGGTTTTTCTCAAAATCCACCCCCCCCCCACCCCCCTCCGCCTCCGTCCGCACCCACCGACATAAATGGGTCGTCCACGGCGGCCGCGGCCGATTGGCAAGCGGCAAGCGGGCCGCGTGTGCGGTGGGGGCGGTGGAGGTTGTTTTTTAGGGTCTCTCCCGCACGTTTTTTGCGCCCCGATCGACACAAACGCGTGGCCGGCGTGGAAGAGCGGGGCAAAAGAAAACTCTCCAGAATTTCCCGCGATCGCGCTCAGCTGGTCGGCCCTTCCGCCAGCGGTGGCGCGAGCGAGCAGTCGCGGCGAGGCCGGCACCAGTTTTGGTTGTCCAACTTTGTAGCGTCGCGCAGAAGGGGGGGGGGCCTCGGTATGAACCCTCGCGCGGAGAAGGCCAAAGTCCAAAGCCCTGCGGGTAAACGTAACCGTAAAGGAGCCGACCCTTAGCCAGAAGCTTTCCACGTATGGAACGCTCTTCGAAGTAAACTGCAGCGCGTCCCCCGCGTCTGCACGGGCGCGCAAAACATTTCCCTCCGCGCGGACATCGATATATATGTGTGTGTGTGTGTAACTCGGTTCTATCCAGACGAAAGTAATAATATAATAAAAAAACGTTATAATAACCGATTAGAGTTCTATATAATAATAATATTACTACTACGTACAAATAGAAAATGAGGATCGCCATTCACGCTTCCCACCACTCGTGACCTCGCATCGCGACGGCGCCGTCGGGCGCCAACGTCGCGCTCTCGTCGCCAACGTCGCGCACGACGTCCCGCTCGTAATTTACTTTGCGGGTCAGGTCGCAGGAACACAATCGCCGCTGTGTGTGTCGTGCTCACTCCTCCACCCGACGCGGCCGGAAACCCCACCCCCACCTCACACAAAGTTGTCAGCACCTCCGATTAGCACTGTTGGCCACGTACGGTGCGAAAGAAGTTCAACATACACACACGTACGTAGCACGGCCGTATGTTGAAGAGTAATCCGCACAGTTGCTAAACGTGTGCGGATCACTCCCGATCGTGCCGGCGGTCGTCTGCGGCGACATTCATTTGGAGGTGTGCATATTGTCTTCCAGCCGACACACACACAATGACACTTTTTTTATCAAGTGCTCCGGAGAAGACTGAGAGAACCAGGACGGCGCGGCGACCCTGACTGGCGTGGGTGACCGAAACGACGGACGCCGCGAAGAGCCGCCGCAGCGCAACCGCAAAATAAAAACCGCTTACACGGTCAGTCTGTCAAACATCCTGGGAATTGACATACTCCATGTGAATTCACATGTGCACCTCCCCCCCCCGCCCCCTTATAACTCCCCCATCACCGTGGCCAAGGTGAATCGTTAACACTCGTCATGCTACACGGAAGCCTCGCTGGGCATCCACCCGAGGCCCGGCAGGGGCAGGCCTCGGCAAGTCCCCATGAGGGGTCGCTCTCCTCTCCTCTCTTTAAGAGAAAACAACAACGACGACGTGCGGGGCACGGACCGCACGGCACGTCCAGCGGTGCCCCTACCCCGCCCCTGGCATTCGCCCGCCCGCTCGTGCAGGCGCATCGCAATTGGCACTGGTTTGACGCGGCTGTCTCTCGTGGGAACACCAGCCGACTCCCGCGTCCGCCCGACGCTGCTCCTCTCACCCGCGTGTCGCTCTTCCCTCCCACCCACGCACAGATTTCTGACGCGAGCCTTAACATTTTTTGCACAACTTTGCATCCGGAACCGCCAACAGTCACCCTCCCCCCGCCCCCCCGCCCCCCCCACCCCCCCACTGACATCCACCCTCACGCACGAGCGGCACACCACCGTGGAAAAGTTACAGCCTCTGTCCGGCTTTTGTCGGAATCGTGCGCGGGGGGGCCAGAAGGCGTGCAGACGGTCGCCGGGGGAAAGGGAAAAAGAGCCCCTCCCCCCCCCCCACTCCCCCCCCCCCCACCGCCGGTCCGTGGCTCGACGCGGCGCATCTTAGCTCGACTTCTTGCTGGCCACCCTCTTTTTCCTCGCCGCCAGCATCTCGTAGAAGGGGTCTTTGCTGATGCTCGCCCTGCAGGGTGGGAGGGGGGGGCACAGAGCGAAAGCGAAATGGTTTTTTTCGTGCGATTCGTATGCAGCAACAAATGATTTGGCGATCGCCGCCGCTGCCGCATTAACAGCGGTGCACAAGCACGGTTGACGACAATGGCACTGAAACAACAACACCGTGTGTTCGCGCGTGTGTGCGGCCGAGCGGTAGAGTAGTGGTTAGCGCGCTGCGCTACAAACCCGGCGACCCGAGTTCAATTCCTGCTCATGACCAATGCCGTTGGCGATTATCCGAACCGGTCCTGGGCCTCCTCTCGGTCAAATGAGTACTTGGTGCGGTGTGTAAACATCGCCACGAGGGAGACAAAGGCGGCAGGGCATGGTGTTGGCCACCCACCCCTTTTTGTGCCGGCCTTCATAGGTGCTCGCTAACAGCACTTGCCCCAACAGTCTGTTAAGGCTATACGGGTGATCTTTGTCTTTTTGTGCGGCCTGAAAAGGAAAATTAAATAATAGGCGACGTTTCGGGCAATGGCCCTTTTTCATAGCACAACGCTGACCCTCGCACATTCGCTATGACGTCGGGCCCAGAAGGGCCTTCTCCCAACGGGCCGACTGCAAAGTGCGACCCCTGAACCTTGGTGTTCCCGTCACCGCCCCTCTGGGGGGGTGGGGCGAGGAATGGGGGGGACGGGGACGGTGGGGTGGGGGGTCGGGTGGGAGTGGTTCGGCGGTGGGATGGGGGGGCACTTACTTGATGCTCTTGATCCACTCGTCGCGCTCCTCCGGCGTCGGCGCGGAGATGCGGTAGACCACGTGGTTGCCCTCCACCACCCGGCCGTCCGCCTCCGTCTTGCACGCCTTCACCAGCCCGCCGCCGTCGTTGTACAGCTCAAAGCAGTTCTGTGTCGGCGGCAGCAGGGGGTGGCGGCAGGGGGCCGAACAAGGGAACGATTGAGAGTTGGAGCGAGCGGTGGAAATTCCACGTTCCCATGGCCGGGGGGTGGGGGGGGCAGGGGGAGTCTATCGAAAGGACAAACCCGCTCGTTGTATCGATCCCGCAGTGACGATGGACCGATGTCAACGCCACCACGGTCAGAAGTTCAACTCGTGGCCTTCCCATCGTGAGCTGGCCTGCGCCTGCGTTAAGCTCCGGGAAATATTTCCCCGCCCCTTCCCCCCCCCCCGAATGCACAGCCCTTTTGTTAGTCCACTGCTGGATGAAAGCATCTCGATCGGGGGGGGAGGGGGGGGGGTTGTTCGACTATACTTCGCCATACTGGTCACGGAGAATGTCACTGAAAACCGCGGCGAGGATTCGAATGCGTGGGTCGTCGGGTTCGTAGTGCAGTGCGCTAACCGCCACACCACCACTCCACCCAGGACAGGCGCCCGTCGCGCCCCGCGCGCTGCGATTCACATTCATTGTCGTCCGCCGTGGGGGGTGGAGTGTGCGGGGTGGAGTGTGCGGGGCGTGGGGTGGAGTGCGCGGAGTGGAGTGCACGGGGTGGAGTGTGCGGGGTGGAGTGCGTGGGGTGGAGTGCGTGGGGTGGAGTGTGCGGGGTGGAGTGTGTGGTGTGGAGTGTGCGGGGTGCGGGGTGGAGTGTGCGGGGTGGAGTGCGTGGGGTGGGGTGCGTGGGGTGGAGTGCGTGGGGTGGAGTGCGTGGGGTGGAGTGCGCGGGGTGGAGTGTGCGGGGTGGAGTGTGCGGGGTGGAGTGCGTGGGGTGGGGTGCGTGGGGTGGAGTGTGTGGGGTGGAGTGCGCGGGGTGGAGTGTGCGAGGTGGAGTGTGTGGGGTGGAGTGCGTGGGGTGGAGTGCGTGGGGTGGAGTGCGCGAGGTGGAGTGCGCGGGGTGGAGTGCGTGGGGTGGAGTGCGTGGGGTGGAGTGCGTGGGGTGGAGTGCACGGGGTGGAGTGCACGGGGTGGGGTGGAGTGTGCGGGGTGGAGTGCGGGGTGGAGTGTGCGTTGTGTGGTTGGACTCTCACCGGCTTCTTGGGGTCGTCCACCTCCCGAATGCTCAGGTTTTCCAGAGGGATGATCCCGCGAGGTTCCTTGTCCTACCCAGACACACGCACGCTCCCCGCGGTCAATTGTCGCTCCCCACGGCCGCTTTTAAAACACTGTCGGTGCGAGCCTTCTCGCCACTCCACCCTGGCCTCAATGCGCACCTAGCCTGGCACAAGTGCCGCCGTAGCGATGTTTCAGACGTAGTGCGGATAACCTTCGACTGGACATCCGTGAAAGAAAAGAGCTTTACAGCTCATCGGAATTCCTCCGGTGCAAACAAATATTCTGTTCGTTCATTATTGGCGAACTCGCATGGGTGCAGGTGTAGACTGGGGCGGGGGGGGCGGGCAGGGGGGATGGGGGCAGGATGGGGGGGCACCCCCGCACTCACTCACCGTGGTGTACTCAAAGTAGTAGAGGCAGTTGTCGGTGAGGATGAACCACCGCCGCTTCCACGTTTTTACTCGGCCGCCTGCAGCGAACACAACAGAGCCCCTGGCGTCAGCTTCAGATAAATAGATGAATGAATGCGTCACCGTGCCGACGACGCCGTAGGATCCATTTGCAGGCACCCCACCGATTTGCAACGAGGCCCTCTCGCACTCTCCCCTCAACGGCCGAGCGGCGAAGAGATCTAATGACGGGCGACCCGAGCCAACGTGATTTTGGTGCCCCGAGCCAGCGAATGGAACTCCCATATTTGTATGGCTGGGACAAGTCTATCCTGCCCTCTCACCGTCATCGCCAACCCTGTCATCCCTGACATCTTGGCCTTGATCATTCCTTACTCCTCCTCCTTCTTTCCTGCCCAGCCCTCCCCCTCCTCCTCCTCTCTCCCTAATGCTGCTCATCTTGAGCCACGTCCACCTCCTCTTTGTCCGTCTCTGGGGGGAGGGGGGGGTGTAGGGGTGGGCATTCGTACCCGGCCTCCCTTTCCCTCGCCCGCTGCTCTTCTCCCTTTCTCCCCAATCATTCTGCAACATCCGTGACTCGGCCGCCCTTCCCCGTGGTGGTGCCGTGCCACGGCTACAACGGATTTGTTTTTTGTGACAACAAAACAAGAAGAAAACGGGGGGGGGAAAAAAAGCACCCGAGGTGGAAACGGAACGACGGCGTCGCAAGGAGCGCATAAAGTGGGGGGGGGCGAGGTGGGGGGGGGGGCGAGGTGGGGGGGGGGGCGAGGTGAGGAGGGGGGCGAGGTGGGGGGGGCGCGAGGTGGGGGGAGCGACGCGAGTGATCGCACGTACCTCCTGCAGCGGGGAGCAGAGAAAGCAGTGAACAGGGAGACAGAAAGCAGCCGTCATTCGTCATTCACCAGGCAGCCGTCACACGTTGACATTATCACCATAGTCATTGTTATTATTCGGAATATCTATTAATACCGGAGGAATCTGACGAGCTCTAAAAAAAAAGAAGCTCATCGTCTGAAAGTCCTCGCCGCGCACCCACCCTAGCTTGAGGAGCCAGCCCTCGCGGTCGGGATTGAAGAAGGTGTGCGTCAGGTCGTTCCCGTCATCCTCGGGGATCTTGAACGGCTCGTTCTTGATGCTTTCGTACAGGTTCTGAAAACGGGGGGGGGCGGGAGGGGCGGGAGATGAGACGCGGGTCGCACGGAACAACGACGACGCCAGGTCAGCCACACCGAGTCAGGCCAGGCCAGGTCACCCACACCGGGTCAGCCACGTCAAGTCAGCCACGCCAGGTCAGTCAGGCCAGGTCAGTCAGGCCAGGTCACCCACACCGGGTCAGCCACGCCAAGTCAGCCACGCCAGGTCAGTCAGGCCAGGTCCACCCACACCGGGTCAGCCACGCCAAGTCAGCCACGCCAGGTCAGTCAGGCCAGGCCACCCACACCGGGTCAGCCACGCCAAGTCAGCCACAGCCAGGTCAGTCAGGCCAGGTCACCCACACCAGGTCAGCCACGTCAAGTCAGCCACGAGGCAGAAAGCCCGGCGTGCACCGCCCCTGACGATGCCCCTCCACCCACCAACCCCACCTCCAGAGCCGTCCCCTAAGGGTACGGCGAATCGAGGGGGCGACCTCCCCGGGTCCAGAACTTATAAATTATGTTTTGGTCCCAGCCCACTGCCAGGGTAGCCCCACCCATTATGCCGGTAGCCCCGCCCACTGCCCAGATAGCTCCGCCCACTGCCCAGGTAGCTCCACCCACTGCCCAGGTAGCCCCGCCTACTGCCCAGGTAGCTCCACCCACTGCCCAGGTTGCTCCACGAGGCCAGATCATTTGGAGCGGGACGACAAAACTCAGATTTTTCACAAATTCTTCACAAATTCTTCATGCGGCCACCAGGGACCGACCCAGGGCCAAGCCCAGGGCATTCGGTGGCCTCGATAAAAAAAAAATGTAAGAGATTCCAAAACGGGCGGTGACGGTGATTCTGCGCCTGGATGGAGCTCGCTCGGTGGGGTTGCTGTGATGGGGGGGGCTGGGGGTGGGGGGGTTGGAGGGATCGGGGGGGGGGTTGGAGGGATCGGGGGGGGGGGGGTGCAGGGCCACCCACCCGGAGCAGCTCCTCCGGCAGGTCGCCCCCGTCGTTGATCCCGCGGTTCATGATGACGAAGCGCTCCACGGTGAGTTTGTCGCGCACGTTGGGGTTGTGCAGGCTCGTGTTGAGCATGATGATGGCGAAGGAGAGGACGTAGCAAGCGTCTGCGGCACAAACACAACAAGGTCCCAACACCGCCCCTACAAACCCCTCTCCGCCGTGTGGCCTTTAACGGACTGTCGGGACGTGTGGCGACGGCGAGCACACGTCGTTGTGGCAGAAAATGTCATGATGGCGAGCTGTAATGATGGCGAGCTGTAATGATTGTGAAATTAATGATTGCGAGCTGTTTTTGTTGAGTCAGCGTACGTGTGTACGTACGTGGATGCGTGTGTGTGTGTGCGTGCGTGTGTGTGTGCGTGTGTGTGTGTGCGTGCGTGTGCGTGTGTGTGTGTGCGTGCATGTGTGCGTGCATGCGTGCGTGTGTGTGTGTGTGTACGTGCGCGTACCGGTGGACTGGAACACCCCGGGGTTGCACTGGCAGTAGCGCGCCGCAAACGCCTCCATCATGCGGTCGATCTTCTGGGCCTCGCCCGGCAGACGGAAGCTCCACAGGAACTGCCTGCATGGACACGGACACCGACACGGTCACGGTCACCGACACCAACGCTGACACCGACATCGTCACGTCATCGACACGGAGGAGATGCGAAGAACTCGCCTGAGAGCTTGCACCAGGTTGAGGTTCGTGAACTCGTGGAGGTCGACAAAGGCCTGCAGCACCTTCAGGTTGAACTCGTCCCTAGGTGGATGCGAACACGGGAAAAGGGTGGACGCGGATCGACAGGCCAAAGGTTAACTCAAGTAAGTTTGTTAAGCGCTTACAACACAACGCCTTCAGTACTCCGATACAATTTCCTCACTACCCATCTGGTATCCAATTAAACGAAACTATTTTGTATTTCGCCAGGTAAGGCCCGGTGAACTTTCTAGCTGTTTCTCGGAAGCGACCTGGCCGCAGCTCAACAAAGTGGCTCATCATCGCGTGGGAATCTAGAGCAACCAATTACTCTGAACGCGTATTGATTCTAAATGTGGAGGGGGAAACCCGGAGGACCCGGGGAAAAATCCACGTGGCCACGGGGAGAGGGACACGTATGTGTAAGGGTTGGGATCAAACCCACGACCTCCTGTGTACCAGGTGAGGTAGGTAACATCTCGCCACCGTGGCGCCCGTTGATGGATAAAGGCCGTTTGCAAGCGGCAAGGCCTCGCTCGCGTGACCATGGGCCGTGTGAAGTGAATTGGCGGCCGTCTCCGGTCCGTGGACCGTCGGCCTCCACCCCCCGTTAGCGCCGCACCTCTCTCCCAGGTAGTCGCCGATGGCCGTCTTGTTCAGCCCTTCACCCTTGTAGAGGAACTGGGCGATGTCTTCCGGTGAGCTCTTGAGCAGATCGTTCTCCACCAGGTAGCGAATGCCCTGTGAATAGAAGCGACGCGATCATTACCATCGTCATCATCATCACCGATCATCGTCAGCCACCGTCCATTGCTGGGCGTAGGCCTCCCTGCCAGGCCGTCCCGTGATGCAACGCTCCACCGAGCACCCTGCACACGAGCTGATTTATTCGCCTCCATCTCCGCGGGGGCTTACGTCCCCTTTGGCTGCCACCCCCGTCATTCATTTTCCACCGTGCTGCAACAGTTAAAGAGTCTTCCGCGTGCATTGGTTCTGCTTCAAGCTCACGACTTCATCGTACAGTTGTGGCAACGAGAAATTGCGAAAGAAAAAAAATCGTGACGTTTAGTTAAGTGCGGCGATCCTACTCTGTGACGATCAAGGAGGGGCCACGTATTTTGATCGTCACAAAGCGAGCAGCCTCCTCCGACACGCCGGGCGCACACGCTGCTCAGCGCGATTTCTGCACTGGGTTCTACGCTCCGACGACACGACGCCGTTATTTTTACGAGTGACGTAAACTGGCGGAAAAAATAAAAACCGCAATTGTTAGATATTTTTTTAACGAAATTTTCGTTTATTTTGAGAAAAGTGAGGTCAGCTGATTTTGGGATGATAATGCCGAACAAAGACTGGTGGAAAAAATAAAAAAACACACAATTGTAATTTTTTTTTTACAAATTTTTTTTTACAATTTTCTTTTTTATTTTAGAAAACTTCTCGAACATGATGAGGGATGCTAATGCCGGAGAAAGAGTGGTGGCGACGGGAGTTCCGCTTGCCTTTTTCGGGTCCATGTTGAACTTCTTGCGACCGGCTGTCATCTGCTTGTTGCGCTGCATGGTTTTACTGCAGGGCAGAGAGAGAGAGAGAGAGACCAGAGATGACGCTTCACCATCACCGCAGGGCGTTTCGCTCACGTTCAAGCCACACTGCCCCAGTCGCCAACAACGTTTAACACTGGCGGTGAAGAACATACGGAGCCACCGCGACTTTGTTCGACGCGGTGGAGAGATGTTCACTCCCTCGCCTGGTACAGAGGAGCGCGTGGGTTCGATCCCAACCCTGACGCCAGATGTATATTTGGAGTTTGCGTGTCTCTCTCCCCGTGATTTTTCTCCGGTTCCTGCGGTTTTTCCCTCGACATTTAAAAGCTTGCGACTTAGAGTATTTGGCTGCTATAAATGTCCACGTGATGCTAAGCCACTTCGTTGAGCTATCATTTGCGATAGCCTGATCGCTTCTGAAAAAGAGCTATACAGCTCAGTGGGCCTTACCTGGTAAAAAAATATATATATTTCATTTATCCCTTTCATCCGTGGGCTATGACCCAATCACCCTGACGCCTGCTGTAAACTCCAAATATACAGCAGGCGTCAGGGTCGGGATGGAATCCACGACCTCCTGCATACCAGCCATCGGGCGCCCCTAAACAACTTCGAAAGGGCCCGAGAACGACATTTATCCATCCCTACGAGCGTCCTCCCTCTGTCCTCCCTTCCGTTTCGCTCCGTCCGTGGCGATTTACTCGAGAAACTTGGCATGACACACTCCTCCCAGCTCTCCTCCCCCAGCTTCTTGTAACTCGTGTTTGAGAGGCATCATTTAAAACTGGCAAACGGCACTGTGGTATCAATTTTAGAAACACGCGCTTCCATCACCGCAGGAGGCCTTTTCGTCGCCATTGGCTGCCGGCCACTTGCATTCGAAAGTCCGATTGGGCCCTAGGTGGGTAGTGGGTTTCCCCCAATTCGTTCACACCGCAGCTGCTCGCGTACGGCAAGTGGCCCGGCTATCGAGTGCGCAGGCGGTGCAACCGCGCCAAGGGCTCGTGGACCGGAGGGGGGGAGGGGGGGGGACGGGGGAGCACAGGTTTTCCAGGCTACAAAGAGGGGGGCCGGGCATAATAGGGTTGACCAAAAACGAAATTTCGATTTAAAGCTTACGTGACTGCAGGGATTCATCTTCTTGGTTCTTTCGGTAAAGTCACGTAGAAGGGCAATAATAAAATAATAAAAATAAAACATAATAAAATAATTCTCACGACGTTTCGGCCACAACGCAAGCATCCGTCGTCAGGTGAAGAACAGGTCTGTCGGAAAGACATCGTCTGAAATAATAAAATGATATTTTTTTTTTCCCTTCTACGTGGCTTTACCGAAAGAACCAAGAAGACAAAAACGAAATGTTAGATCCTCGCAGCATGGCCCGTGCCAATCAGAGGGTGTTACGACACTGTGGCGTGCAGCTGTCTTTGTTGAGAGTCGCAACAAGGAGTGGGACTTGGAGAGCCCGTTGTAACCCGATCGTCCACTGCCAATAGCACGGGGAGGGGGCAGGGGCGAGCGTGCCTTGGTGCCAACACGAACAGGCTCCTGCGTTCAACAGAGGCCTGATGCTGTCAGGGTAGTCCAGCTGCTTGCGGCTGCTGTGCCCCCCCCCCCCCCCACGACCTTCACACTTTAGCTCCCACACCATTCTGCCAATGTGAGCCGGATCTGTCAAGTGGCTCAACGTTGCCAAAAGGCTTAAAGGTGGCAGCGGGCAAAGGCAGCTGCAATCCGCCTGTCATCCCAGGCCAATATCAATAGTTACTCCGTGGCCTCGCCCCCCACCCCCTTCCTGAATAGTCCATCCTCAACACCAAAGACAAAGGTCCCCCCCTGCCGTGTAGCCCTTAACAGACTGTCGGGGCAAGTGCTGTTAGCGAGTAGCAACCTTTGAAGAACGGCACGGCACACGAGCGGGTGGATGGCCAGCACCACGCCCGGCCGCCTTTGTCTCCCCAGTGGCGATGTTTACACACCGCACCAGCTGCTTATTTAAGGCTAAGCCAACCCAATGTTGGCCACGAGCAGGAATCGTACTGGGGTCACCGGGTTCGTAGCACAGCAGCGCGATCATCACTACACTACCGTTCCCCAATACCAACACCAAAAAACAAAGATCCCCCGTGTAGCCTTAACAGACTGTTGGGGCAAGTGCTGTTCAGCGAGCAGCTATGAAGACCGGCACAGCACACACACACTCACAGAACAATTCAGATGTACATAGCGTCTGAGCACAACAGCACAGCGGTACATAGCTGTTGGAAACAGTGCGACTCACGCGCCGTGTACAATCTATTCTGTTCTATTTCGGATTGACAACGCGCCTTTGCAAGGGCGCTTTAAAATGCAAGCCGACGTCGTTCAGAGAGGGAGCTGACGGAATGGATGGAGGGGCTAGGAATGGGGCTGCTGATTGTTGCTGGGGGTAGGCCAGGCAGAGTAAGGTGGAGTGTGATGGTGAGTGACGCTGTCCGATGGGTGCAGCGTGGACGAGAGGCGCTGGGGAATGGCAGCACGAGCGTGAAGTGGTGAAATGGGCATGGATGAGGGGAGGTGATGGGTGGTCGGGGCAGAGGTCTGATGGCCGGGTAGTTGAGCTGATGGAGGAGCACAGCGTAGGGCTGGAGAAGAGATGTGGTTAGATGCACAGCAGTTCCCGAAGAAGCTCCCGACGGTACGTGGAGAGAAATGTCGGACATCGTGCCGAACGACGCGCGGCAGGGCCCGGTGGGGGTGGCTGGGGGGGGCGGTAGTGTGGTGGTTATCGCGCTGCGCTACGAACCCGGCGGGCCGAGTTCGATTCCCGCTCATGGCCAACACCAGTGACGATTGTCTAAACCAGTCCTGGGCTCCCCCCCCCCCCCGAGGTCGACTCAGCCTGAAATGAGGACCTGTGTGCGGTGCGTAGTAAACATCGCTGGCCACCCGCCCACACGTGTGCCGTGCCGGTCTTCATAAGAGCTCGCGAACAGCACTTGCCCCTACGGTCTGCTAAAGCTACGCGGGGGATCTTTGTCTTCAGGGGGGGGGCGGTGGGGGGGATGGGGGGGCGGGGCCGGGAACACGAGGCCTCACGGTCTCACGGTCCCAGTGAAGCGGACCACAACAATAGCAGGCCACCGCTAACCGCCTCCGACACTTATTAATCCGTCCCACGCTTTCACCCCTGGGCGACACCCCCCCCCACCCGCTACCTGCTCCACCTCATCCAGGCCTCGTTTTTCCAGCCCCCCCCCCCCCTCCAAATCGGTGCTAGCTCAGGCATTTGTAGCCGGTGTATAAACAAAGCAGCTGTTAAATTTCGATTTAAAGCTTTCGTGACTGCAGGGATTCATCTTCTTGGCTCCTTCGGTAAAGTCACGTAGAATGGAAACAATAAAAATAATAAAATAAAACATAATAAAATAATTCTCACGACGTTTCGGCCACAACGCAAGCAGCCGTCATCAGGTGAAGACCAGGTCTGTCGGGGAGACAGTGTCTGAATGAAACAGCACCATGCTTGGACGGCGGTGGTCTGCTGGAAGTTGCGGTTGTCATATATCACAAAAACACGCGCGGCTCTGCAAATTCTTGAGCATTTAGAGGAATGAGGGAGCGAGGGAGGGGAAGGACTTTGGGCATATGCACGCACACACGTACCTTCCATCCATGAATTCAATGGTCTCCATCTCATTCATCACGTCCGCTATCTCGTTCTTTAGTCGCTGTGAATCGACAAGACACAAGCGCACGCAACGTGTGCGTTAGACGACGATTCAATTCCCACGCGTTTACGTTTAAACAAGGATTTTAAAAAGATGCAGGCAAGTATTAACAGAACCCGCGTCTCTGCATATAAATACAAACGCGTTTTTAAGTCCATTAGCCCTATCGGTTTTCCAGATGAATACCATCACCACCACCACCACCACCACCATCATCATCATCATCATCGGTAGTAGCAGCAGCAGATAGCCACCACGCTCCAACGTTGATCAACATGTCTGCCTTTACATCATCATCGTCATCGTCGTCGTCACCATCATCCCCCAGCGAGTCGTATACACGACGTCGTGCCCTACTTTGCTCTACTGCTGGACGTTCCGTCAACTCCGCTTTAACCGCCCGTCTGTGGTGCGGTGTGGAGGTGGGGGGGAGTCCCAGTGGGCTTGCTCCGAGTGATTGGGGAAGGCCTCCCCCCCCCCTCCCACAATCAATGACCCCCCCCCCCGCCCAGGAGAGAGAGCGGTAATCGACAAGCGGCGAGGTTAAGAACCCATGACCGCTCGCGAAGGGCTCGAATTTGCATTTCAGAGAGGATGACATTCGCGCCCACGCGCTGAGCCCGGGTGTGGGGCGGTTCGTCGGACAGGTTCAGAGGATGTGCGGCGTCGCAACAGCGGCTGGCGAACTTTGTTGCGATAAATTTCGATTGAAAGCTTTCGTGACTGCAGGGATTCATCGTCTTGGTTCTTTCGGTAAAGTCACGTAGAAGGGAAATAATAAAAATAAAACATTATAAAATGTCGATTTAAAGCTTTCGTGACTGCAGGGATTCATCTTCTTGGTTCTTTCGGTAAAGTCACATAGAAGGGAAGTAATAAAATAATAAAAATAAAACATAATAAAATTTCGATTTAAAGCTTTCGTGACTGCAGGGATTCATCTTCTTGGTTCTTTCGGTAAAGTCACGTAGAAGGGAAATAATAAAATAATAAAAATAAAACATTAGATATTGTTATATTATTTTTTTATGTTTTATTTGTATTACTTTATTATTTCCCTTCTACGTGACTTTACCGAAAGAACCAAGAAGATTGTCGCGATAATAAATCATAGCCGTCAAACCCCTTATCAGTGGCCCCCACCCTACCTTGTTACAGACCAATTCAGACCTTAAAGGTCGCCCCCTTGCCCCCTTAGAAATCTCATCCTGCAAAGTCCCATCACAAGAGAGAAACGCAAACAGACAGACGCATTTGTGTCGCCCCTATTGAAACGGCTGTCCGCCGTATGGACCTGAAAACTCAATTTCCCTGCACAAGAATACGGGGTTGACAGCTGTCATAAATCATAAACGTGGCGGAGGTGCTCCTGCGTTGGCAGTGGTGGTGCACAGTCAACAACAAACACTTTCCGCGTTACTAACGCTGCATACAATCGACAACGATTGGGACAATGGAGGCGACTTCATAGTGCACTGTGGGTAAATGTTGGCGTGAACAGAGGCGCCAGGATATTTTACTCTCCCACGCGCGCCCCCCTCTCACTCCCCACTCTGTCACCCCCCCCCCCCCACTAACCCCCCCCCCTTCTACCCACTCTCACTCTCCCACCCTCTCACTCACTCCCCACTCTGTCACCCCCCCCACTACCTCCCCCCTTCTCCCCCACTCTCACTCCCCCCCCCCACTCCTCCCCCCTCTCATTCCCCCCCCCCTCCTCTCCCTCCCCTCCCACACTCCCCCTTTTTCACCCCCCCCCCCCATCCAACCCTCACCCACCTACTCCCCCTCTCACTCCTTCCCTCTTTCACCCCTTTCCCACACACTCCCCCACCCTCACCCCCACCCAACCCCACTCCCCCCCTCACACCCCTCCCACACTACCCCTATTTTCACCCCCAACTCACCCCCCCCCCACTCTCACCCCCCTCTCACCCCCTTCCCACCCCCCCCTCACTCCTCCCCCCTCTCACACCCCACCACCCCCACTCCCCCCCTGGTAGGTCCGAGTCCTCCGTACGGTTGGAGCTGTGTGCGCTTAGAAGGACACAGCGTGTCAACCCACACGGTTTACCCCCCCCCCCCCGTATTCTTGTGCAGGGAAATTGAGTTTTCAGGTCCATACGGCGTACAGCCGTTTCAATACGGGCAAAACATTTTCTGTCGTCTATTTGTTTGTGTTTCTTCTCGCTTGTGATGGGACTTTGCAGGATGAACGTTGAGATTTTGAAGGGGCACTGATAATGGGTTGACAGCTATGTAGTGGTGAGTGTAGTGGTGAGTGTACTAGTGGTGAGTGTAGTGGTGAGTGTACTAGTGGTGAGTGTAGTGGTGGTGATTGTCTATTTGTTTGTGTTTCTTCTCGCTTGTGATGGGACTTTGCAGGATGAACGTTGAGATTTTGAAGGGGCACTGCTAATGGGTTGACAGCTATGTAGTGGTGAGTGTAGTGGTGAGTGTACTAGTGGCGAGTGTAGTGGTGAGTGTACTAGTGGTGAGTGTAGTGGTGAGTGTACTAGTGGTGAGTGTAGTGGTGAGTGTACTCGTGGTGAGTGTAGTGGTGGTTAGTGTCTATTTGTTTGTTTCTTCTCGCTTGTGATGGGACTTTGCAGGGTGAACGTTGAGATTTAGAAGGGACACTGATAATGGGTTGACAGCTATGTAGTGGTGAGTGTAGTGGTGAGTGTACTGGTGGTGAGTGTAGTGGTGAGTGTAGTAGTGGTGAGTGTAGTGGTGGTTAGTGTACTAGTGGTGAGTGTAGTGGTGGTTAGTGTCTATGTGTTTGTGTTTCTTCTCGCTTGTGATGGGACTTTGCAGGAAGAACGTTGAGATTTAGAAGGGTCACGGGGTGACCAATGAGGTGAGCGTTGGGCCGTGATAAGTGATAAGGTAGGGCACTGCTATGGGGTTGACAGGTACGCGCAGGGGTCACGTGTCCATACTTCACCACACTGGTCAGTGTGAGTTGGTGACGGCGGGGGCGGCGGCGGGGGGGGGGGGGCAAAGACAATGGGGGGCGTGGTAAGGAGTGAGAACAATGGATTGTGGCTGCACTGCCCTCTGCCGGCAAACACTGATTGACAAAAGGGGGGGACGGGGTTTGGAAATTTGTATTCCTATTTTATATTCGAGAAAGAGATGCAGATTTTGTGTTGTTGTAGCTGTTGTTGTTCGTGCAGCGACAGCGGGCGCACGTGCACGGCTACCTGCGCGCGTGCGCCACAGGGAGAGAAGGCGGCAGCGAGAGGCGAGAAAAACTGACGGTGGCAGAAGCAGAAGACGACGGAGGAGGAGGAGGAGGCAGAGGTCAGAGGTCAGGGGAGGCAGGAAGGAAGGAAGGGCGGGCGGGCAGGCGAGCGAGCGAGGAACAAGAAAGGATGGGGAGAGGGGTGGGGAGAAGGGGGGTCGCAGGGCCACAATGGAGGCGAGGTTTCACCGCATGAGTCACGGGACGCGGCGTCCAACCCACTTCCTCTCCGTTGGGACTGCCAGCCTGGACTCACACGGCAAGGCCGTGGCGATAGATACTCCGTGTGATACATACTCCACGTGATACGTACTCCGTGGCAATACATCTCACTCGGCTTCATGGGGATTCAACGCGAAGCAGTCCGGTTGACTGATGAGCCAGAACTCACCGATTCACTCTCGTTCACTGGCGGGTCAGTCGCCCCCCGTATCACTCTTCTATCGCTACTACCGTGGGTCGCCCTGCCCGTGAACTTGACCCGTTGGTTCCTCTGACCAGACCCTTGACTGTTTAGTCACTCGTGCTGTGTTCAGCTTCTCCTGGGCTCACACGGCGAAGCCCGTGGCGATACGTACTCCAGCGTAAAAGCTTCGAGCCTCGAAGCCACCCGTAGGGCATTGCCCCATCGTGGTAAGTATCTACAGTTAGGGATCGGCCGTGGTGAGTCAGAGGATCAGCGATATTTGTACGCGCGGTCCTGTTGAACTGCTTTCGAACCGTACGTAGCCAACCGCGAAGGTGCGGGGGAAAGGACGACAAACGTCAACACAAAAAGCAGTTCTAGAGAAGTGAGTTTTCAATCGAGATGATTTACAAGTGCACAGCTCCGGTGACTTTTGAATATCGGAATGGAAGAGCGTTCCAGACGGCCCCAGAATCGCATGTGAAAGCGCCGCGCGATGCGGTGACCACCGTGTCTGTTCGATGTTTCAGCCAAAAGCCGCCGCCCGCCACCGCTGCTGCGAGGGTGAACGGAGTTTGCGTGACCGTTTACGCTCCTTGACGAGATGCAGCGAGGACTGCGCGTTTTTAAATCCTTTATATTAAGTTCGCTTGCTTGCTTGCTTGCGTGCTTGCTTGCTTACGACCGTGCAAATATTTCGGTCGTTTTTTAACCCACTTCCCGTGATCCAATCGAGCTGACATTTTGCACACAGACTCGTTGTGCGTGACAATTAATGTTCGTGAAAAAATTTTTCCAAAATTTTACACTGTTTAGGGAAAAAAAAGTTAATATTTAATTACCAATTGCTTAATGGTGGCAGGCAATCATCTGACCCATAGGTGGCAGCCATCTCAAGCCAAAGGACGAGAGGACTCTAGCCGCCACGCATATAAAGGATTTAGAGTGAAAAACTTTGTATTTACGGGTTAATTTTTTTTTTGTAAAGTCACAAATCAATTTAGTTTAACAGGGCGCGAACTCGGGGGAGTCGAGGATGAGACGCAGTTGCAAGCGTGACCTGGGTCACCGAAATGACAAACCGCAATCACCAAAAAAAATAAGTTCGCCAATTAAACGGAGACGATCCAGTTCAAATGACATCCAGGATAGAGATTACATCGACAGTAGAGTTGTTTTTTTGGATTGGATCGCGTAAATATAAATGTGCTGTAAGACCCATCACTACCCGACACAGCTAATCAGTAAGGTTTGTCATATGAACAAAACAGCACACCGCTGTGTGTTGGCGAGTAAACCCACGACATCCACAATTCCAGTACTGTGACGTCTTGCGTAATTACAATAACCAGCATCATCAGGCGACAGACAGAATTATGGAGAAATCCTGCTGTTTTGGTCTTACATAGAGGTGGGGGTGAATGCGATGTCGTCGCTTGTGAAGAACGTGGGGGGGAGGGGGATTAGTGTAGTCACATAAATTACAATGTACGTTGGGTTATTCACAGTTAATCAACATACTTAATGTGATGTGTGCACATTACCAATATTAGATCGCCCTCAGCGTGCCGATCAATGCCCCACAGCGGTTGGGGGGGGTATTGATTGGCACATTTGGGGGAAAAGGGCTTCGCCAACAGATGATCGATTCCGCTCGGGGTCTCTCACCTCGATCTCCGCGAGTATCTCCTGCTTGCGACGGCGCACATTGCTCAGCTCCAGCTGCTCCTCGGGGGTCAGGTCTGTTGGCACTGCAACGGCAGAGGGGAGGGGGTGTGAGCCCACAGCCAGGGCATCGTCATGGTCCGGAGTCGGCTAAGTTTGACACCGATCGAGCATCGTTGAGCGCCGCCGGTGGCGAGATGTTAACTCCCTCGCCTGGTGTGCAGGAGGTCGTGTGCTCGATCCCGACCCTTGATGGCTGCTGCTGTACGTTTGGAGTTTGCGTGTCTCTCTCTCTCTCTCTCTTCCCGTGGTCGCGTGGGTTTTTCTCCGGGTCGTCCGGTTTTTCCCTCCACATTTAGAATCAACATCACGCGTTTGGAGCATTTGGCTGATATTTGCACGCGGTAAGCCACTTCGTTGAGCTATCATTGTGGCCAGATCGCTTCTCAAAAAGAGATCTATAGTTCAGTGGGCCTTACCTGGTAAACTAAACAAGTGTTTTATATGAGAATAGATTTTTCCCCTTTTATCTGGCAACAGATATAAGAATAGGAAAACAACTATTCTTATTTTTCGATTTAAAGCTTTCGTGACTGCAGGGATTCATCTTCTTGGTTCTTTCGGTAAAGTCACGTAGAATGGAAATAATAAAATAATAAAATAAAACATTATAAAATCATTCTCACGACGTTTCGGCCACAACGCAAGCAGCCGTCCTCAGGTGAAGACCAGGTCTGTTCATTCTACGTGACGTTACCGAAAGAACCAAGAAGATGAACTATTCTTATATTTTGGTACTGGCAAAGGAGGTCCCATGATGTAATTGTTTTATTATTTTTAGTTTACTACGGCGTGGTCTTTGAAACTGACCGGGCCACTCCAGAGAAACAACCTTTGGAGTAGGCCCTCGTCCCACCAGCGGACGTATGTTAAAAACAACATCATCGCTCATCGGTTTCCTCCGGGACAATTAAAGGGTTCACACCATTCTGATAAACCACGGCGGGACTCTAAGTGACTGTGCCATCGACACCGCCCGGCCCGGGTCGAGACAAATGGAAACAAACCCACAGAGAGAGGTGGGGGGGCCACTTTCACACTTTCAAACTTTCCACGGAGTCCATCAGCGACCGGTGCTGAGCCCCGTCAAACTCGCCCGGGTTTAATCGCAGCCGACGGCTCAAACAGCCGGGATTCGAACCCAGGGCTCTCGACGGTGCCAGCCGAGGCCACCGGGACCCAGAGGACCATGGGCCCAGGGCCCCAAGGGCCCGCTTGCAGGGCAGCGGCAGCGGCAATTGCCCCCCAGAGACCCCTATGGGTGAGTTCGCCCGCTGGCCCTGGGACTCTGCTCATTCGTCGGCAAGAGGAGCGTCCCCCCCCCCACCCCCCGCCGCTGCTGTTCACGAACCGCTGTGCTGAGTGCCGGCGGAGCGTGCCGTGACGTATGTGAATAGTACGTCGAACCGCTTGCGTACGTAGCCAACCGTGCAAATCGGAGGTAATGGCTTCATCGTGCCCCAACACCCGCGCCCGCCCGCCCGCTCGCCTGCCATTTAACTTGAGAGACAATGGAAAAAAAATATTTTACAAATATTTAGGGGGCCACGCACCCCTCCACCACTGACACTGCTTTAGAACTCAAGAGGCGCTATTCAGGTGGAAGGGAACCAAGCGGTGAAATGTGTCGCAGGGATACATCGCAGATTCATAAAAGGGACGATCGACTCCTCGGGGCGTGTTTCCTTGTTGCCGGTACAAGTCTGCGGGTCTTGAACCACCGTCACCATACACAGCCGCGATGGCAAAGTTTACCCAAAATGATCATCCACTCATTGAATTTTCATTTAATTTTTGTTCATCGCTTTACACAGCGTCACTCATGCCAACAGCATCTCACGACACTCATTCTTTTCCCTTCCATTCCATGAACCCCTTGAAAAATTACGCCCCTCTCTTGCCCCGCCCCCCCCCCCCCCCACATCTTTCCTCCTGAAGGAGGGCAACCCCCGTGCAAACCCGACGGCTAACGGCCGCGCAGCCGCCAGCGATGCCGATGATGTCGCCAAGCACCGCCCATCACCTGCCGTCCAGCGGCACGCTTAGGAACAGAGGTGCGACTTTCCACCCCACCCCCCGCCCCTGCCTCCCCCCCCCAATTATCGTTGCGTTGTCCTATTGAGTCGAGTAATGGAACCAGCAATTGGTAAAGGAGCCAAGGAGGGATTTCTGAAATAATCGGAAGAGCCCAGCCGGACCGGAGGTCTTCGATCACTCAAGTCCCTGATGAACCCACAGTTTGTTCTACCCCATTAGAATCCCGCCCCCTACCCCCCTCTTGCAGCTCGCTCATGAGATAATGTTGATGAAATCTGTTCATCCCAACGTACGGCCGTGCTTATCGCGAACTGGGACTCGGTGACCTTATGTTCTTGAAGTCTAAAAAAAAAGCGCAGCGGCCAGTGGAAACGAACGTACAGTGCATAAACCGCGCGCGCACGCAACACACGGACGCACACGCACGGACGCACACTTCCTGTGCCCAAACAGGAAATTATTTAATAGCATTCACATTTCCTGGCCTCCGCCCGCTGGGGATCAGGAACTGGATCAGATCGAAGAGGCAAGGGACGAGAGGCCCTCCGGAGCCGCAAACCCGCGTGACCGTTTGATTGCGCAAACGGAGCCGATTGAAGGCGTCGTGTCGCTGCGCGCTGTGGAGACGGAGTTGGACATCGTTTCCTATGGACACGTGAGAAGACCAAAAATAAAATATCCTTTACATGAGCGGTTCTCAACCCGTGTGGGACTCGCCCGCTCACTCCCGACCCCCACCCCAAGCCTTTCACAGTTGGACGGGAGGGTGCAGTCTGCGGAATGGACACCGTGCAGGAGAAATTACAAATGAAAACGCTGCCACCGTTTAAAGTTTTCACCGACGATGGGGTTTTTTTTGGCTGTTGGTCAAAACAGCCGCCGCCGGGGCAATAACTGGCACACAGAGAGAGCGAGCGAGAGAGAGAGAAACGCCTCCGAGGAGGGAAAAAAAAATCAGGGCAGACCCTGGGAAGAAGATCAATATCGCAGAAAGCCGGAACAGGGGCGAGAACTTTATGTGGGGAGAGCTACAAGCATTGTCTTGGGCGGTACATTTTTATCATTATTTTTATTACGCCGCTGACAAAGACCGGGACTTTTTAACGTCTCAGGGAAGACTTCCAGCTTTCCCAGGACGGCCGCTGCCTCCTCGACAATAAATCGGACGATCCTGGGATTTAAAAAATAAAAAAACCAGGACAGGTGGCAACCCTGGTCCGGAGAGGGCTTGGACGGTTGACCGTCGTGCGCAAACAGGGAGTCGTAGGGCTGCAGCAGGGATAACCCTATTAGCAGAGGGATAGTGCAGCGTAATCCACTGTTGCGCTGAAATTCCAATCATCTACGCGTGGCTTCACCCGGCCTCAGGTGGCTATCGTGGTTTTGCCAGAGTTGATCCAGGCAAGCCCGACTCGTGCTGATGAGACGCCGCGTGGGCGAGTTTGCTTGCATTGAGCCAACGCCGCTGAAAGTGTGCGCTCCTTGAGAGAGAGCCGCGGGGTCGTGTGAGAAATAACTACTCTCAATGCTTATTATCTATGCACGTACGTTGAACTCCTTTCGCACCGTACGTGGCCGACCGTGCTAATCGGAGAGGCGGCTCTGCGAAGGAGAACGCGCCGTCTGAGAAGCGAGGTCAAACACACCCCCGCGCCCCCCCCCGCTCCCCCGTTCCCCCCACCACAACTTGCAGGGGCGCGGGGCAGAAGAGAGGCCCTCATCAAGCAGTGGATTTGACAAAAGCGGCCAGACGTGAACGCACGCGTGCAAGTCAAACCTGCCAACAAAAAGTTCAGCAACGGCTTGAAATTGGCACACAGCCTCCGTCGCCATCGTTGCCATTGTCATCACCATCGCACCTTGCGCTAAACAGGTGCGCTTCTGCGGCCGTCTGGAACGCTCTTCCTTCCGATATTAGCAAGCCACTGGAGCTATGCACTTTTAAATATAGATTGAAAGGCTCACTTCTTTAGAACTGCTCTATGTGTTTTAAGTTTGTTGTCCTTTCCCCCGCACCTCCGATTAGCACGGTCGGCTACGGACGGTGCGAAAGAAGTTCAACATACACGCGTACACGTACGTACGTAAACCCACCGGGGTAAGCGCGTGGCAGAAGAGCCAGGACTCGGACACATCGGCTCTGTCTGCCCGTCCGTCCATACCTGGGGCGCTAGAATCCACATACAAATGGTGCAATACGAATGCAGTGTAAAGTTGCATGCATTACGCCCGTACGGTTGAACTTCTTTCGCACCGTACGTAGCCGACCGTGCTTATTGGTGGCGTGGTGGTGGTGGTGAGGTGGGGTATTACGTCGTTGAAAACCGGACACGAAACCGAAAACCGGACACATTGATCAAAAGGGAGTGTGCAGTAAAAGAGGTCTTTGAAAAAAAGTCACTTGTTTCCCTGGCTGCTATGGTTGGCTCTGTCTCTCTCTCTCGCGCGCTCGCGGGACAGGAATCGCCTGCAGCCTCGCTCGGCAGAGCCGCTGTTACTGGGAGCCCCGGCTTCCAAGCCCGAGTGCAGACAAGCAGAAAATGAACATTACATAAATGCGTTGAGCCCACACGCGCAAACACACCGGGTTGGCGGGGCTGTCTGTTCATCGAAGCTTGCAATCAAGAAGGTGGGGGAGGCAGCAGGAGGAGGAGGAGGATGATGCGGAGGAGTGACGTTTGTCATCAACTTAGCCGCGGTGTATTTCCACGCCGCTGAAAGTCGCTTCAGGGCTAAGAGAATCAAATGCTCGCATCGCAGAAAAATGTAAACGCTGGACCGATTTGCGGTTGAAGATGGGTGGTGTTGTTGTTGACGCGCTTGCCGAGCACAGGGCCCAAATGGGCAAAAATGGCAATCGGTCAGCAACAAGCGGCACCGGTAACACTTGCAACAGGTTTTATTGGAATTGAGCGAAGTTAGTTTGTTGTTGTCAGAGCTTGGGATGGGGACGACGACGACGATGATGATGACGGGAGGAGAGGATTCCAAAGTGGAGCGGTGCGAGGGGAAGAAAGGAAAAATGAGAGGTGCGGTGAGGTGACCAGCAGTGTGGTGAGCGGTGGTGGTGAGCGGTGGTGGTGAGCGGTGGTGGTGAGCGGTGGTGGTGAGCGGTGGTGGTGAGCGGTGGTGGTGAGTGGTGGTGGTGAGCGGTGGTGGTGAGCGGTGGTGGTGAGTGGTGATGGTGAGCGGTGATGGTGAGCGGTGGTGGTGAGCGGTGGTGGTGAGTGGTGGTGGTGAGCGGTGGCTGGACAAAGGACGGCCCGGATGAAACAGTCAAGGGTACCAACTGCGGCTCGCAATTGGTACCCTGAGTTGTGACCAACGCTCAGATTAGTTTTTCCATTTTAGTTTTACTTTCATCAAATTGTTCCAACTGTTAACGCTATCCATCCGTGCATGGGGGGGGGGGGGGGGCGGGTAAATGTGGGGGGGGGGGGGGCATTATCTCCCTGGAGCGCCCTTTAGTGGAGTCACTTCTGCCAACAGTGGCATTAAGCAAGCAGTTGCAGGGCTGCCTCCTCTTTTTTTCAGCAGCGACCTGGGCCGCAAACGATAGCTCAACGAAGTGGCTTAACGTCGCCGTGGAAATTTAGAGCAGACAAATGCTCTAAACGCGTGATGTCGAGGAGGACCCGGAGAAAAAAGATACATGCGACCACTGGGGGAGAGAGAGAGAGAGACGCAAACTCCAAATACACAGCAGACGTCAGGGTCGAGATCGAACCCACGACCTCCAGTATACCCGGCGAGGTAGTTAACATCTCACCACCGTACCTTAGTCGACTGGTCAATGTGACACACACACACACACCATGGTGGTATAGCAAAGTAATCATGTATGCACAGACGCAGCCTACATAATTGATAGACTGGAGACACGGACTTGACAGTTTATGAATTAAGCGTCACCTGGCAAGCTGCAGAGCATCTGCCGCACGAGGCAACGGGCCGACTCGGCGCACAGAAACAGCCGGAACACCAACATTAAATGGCAATAAACAGAGCTCTTTCCCACCACGAGACTTGGGATCGGAGCGCATGTTGTTCGGCACCATGTCAGAAGTTTTTCTGCAGGTGCTAGGGCGCCACGGTGGCTAGGAGATGTTAACTACCTCACCTGGTATACAGGAGGTCGTGGGTTCCATCCCTACCCTGACGCCTGCTGCTGTGAATTTGGAGTTTGCATCTCTCTCTCATCATCATCACGGTGGCTAGGAGATGTTAACTACCTCGCCTGGTATACAGGAGGCCGTGGGTTCGATCCCATCCCTGACGCCTGCTGCTGTATATTTGAAGTTTGCGTCTCTCTCTCATCATCACGGTGGCTAGGAGATGTTAACTACCTCGCCTGGTCTACAGGAGATCGTGGGTTCGATCCCATCCCTGACGCCTGCTGCTGTATATTTGGAGTTTGCGTCTCTCTCTCATCATCATGGTGGCCAGGAGATGTTAACTACCTCGCCTGGTCTACAGGAGATCGTGGGTTCGATCCTGACCCTGACGCCTGCTGCTGTATATTTGGAGTTTGCGTGTCTCTCTCTCATCATCATCACGGTGGCTAGGAGATGTTAACTACCTTGCCTGGTATACAGGAGGTCGTGGGTTCGATCCCATCCCTGACGCCTGCTGCTGTATATTTGAAGTTTGCGTCTCTCTCTCATCATCATGGTGGCCAGGAGATGTTAACTACCTCGCCTGGTCTACAGGAGATCGTGGGTTCGATCCTGACCCTGACGCCTGCTGCTGTATATTTGGAGTTTGCGTGTCTCTCTCTCATCATCATCACGGTGGCTAGGAGATGTTAACTACCTTGCCTGGTATACAGGAGGTCGTGGGTTCGATCCCAACCCTGACGCCTGCTACTGTATATTTGGAGTTTGCATCTCTCTCTCATCATCATCACGGTGGCTAGGAGATGTTGACTACCTCGCCTGGTATACAGGAGGTCGTGGGTTAGATCCTGATCCTGACGCCTGCTGCTGTATAGTTGGAGTTTACGCCTCTCCCCCCGTGGTCGCGTGGATTTTTCTCCGGGTCCTCCGATTTTTCCCTCCACATTTAGAAACACGAGTTCAGAGTATTTGACTGCTACTGTAAATCTCCACATGATGATAAGCCACTCCGTTGAGTTATAATTTGTGAGAGCCAGGTCGCTTCTGGGAAAGAGTAACGCAGCTCAGTGGGCCTTACCTGCTCAAATTTCAAATTGTTTAGTTTGGTTCTTTCGGTAAAGTCACGTAGAATGGAAATAATAAAATAGTAAAAATAAAACATAATAAAATAATTCTCACGACGTTTCGGCCACAGGTGGAGAACAGGTCTCTCCACCTGAGGACGGCTGCTTGCGTTGTGGCCGAAACGTCGTGAGAATTATTTTATTATGTTTTATTTTTACTATTTTATTATTTCCATTCTACGTGACTTTACCGAAAGAACCAAGAAGACGAATCCCTGCAGTCACGAAAGCTTTAAATCGAAATTTCTAGTTTCAGTTCAGCTTTTGCAGGAACTGAACCGAGCGGCTCGCTGTCAGTTCCCGGTGAAGCTCCCGGCCGTGTGCGTGCGCACGGCACGAGCCGCCAACGCCGCGTGCGGCTCGACCGCGAACACTCAGCGCGCGCTGCAGCGTCAACAATTGTTACGTCGAGGAACACAAACCGTCATCACGCCAACTCCGCTCAGCCTCGCAGCAGCAGCAGCGGCGGTGGCTTTGTCGCCTGGCCACCGAACAAAGGCGGTGGTCACCGCATCGCGCGGCGCTGTCGGGTGCGCCATCTGCGGCCGTCTGGAACGCGCTCTTCCTTCCGCATGTTAGGAAGCCTTTGGAGCGGTGCACTTTTAAATCGTCTGGATTGAAAACCTCATTTGTTTAGAACTTCTTTTTGCGTTTAGTTTGTTGTCCTTCGCCCTCCGCCTCTCCCGCAGCTCCGATTAGCGCGGTTGGCTTGCGTACGGAGATGCGGAAGAAGTCCGACGTACAGTGCATACGGACGGCGAGAAAGTAATCTGATGTTCCTTATCTCCAGGAGCTCACTGCCCTGGACACCGTTGACCTAACGAATGCGCACCACGAGGCAACCGAGCTCACACATTGCCTTCGGAGGATCTGTCCCACTGCGGTTGGGCAATGCATGTCGCACACAGCGCAGCGCACTCTTTGCCCGTCAAAGACAACCGCACACACGGGCGAGGGCTAAAGTCAACAACAGCAGCAGCAGCAACCGCAGTTTCCATTTGCCACTAAGTGTAAAAAAATATCGGCTGTTCGCTACAAATTGACAGTGATGTTGCCACAGCGCTTGCGTCAGGCCAGGTGCACTCCGAGGCCACGTGAAGCATCCAAGACTCTCCGCGCCACGCCGCCCCCACCGAGGAGAGAGCCTCCAGGAGCTGAACGAAAACCAAAGCAACGAGGCAATGCCTACAGCTGGCCACGCAAGAGGCCAGGATCCGATACAAAGCGAGAAAATAAACGAGTGCGCAGTTGCAGCGTGACTCGTGGTACGCACGACGTGTGAGTGTTGAACTTCTTTCGCTCCGTACGCAACCAACCGTTGCCAATCGGAGGTGCGGAGTAGCCGCAGCCGTCGCGGTGAGAGGCACTACTGAACGTGGTGTGCCGTGCGTGCGTGCAAATATTTTCCTCTCGCTGCCCGCGACTAAAGAAAGGTGGAACGCAATGACAACGACAACAACAACAACCGCCGTTCGCCACTAAGTGACGTCTGCTGCGGCGCTCGTACCAGGCTAGGTGCACGGACGCGACTGACCGGCTACCGACCTCTGCGTCTGCGCGGGGCCCCCTTGGCCCCGTTGTGGTTGAGGCTGTGGGAGCGCTGCACGGAGACTCGCGTGGTCGTGCCGGTGCCGCCACCGCCGTCGTCATCGTCACGCTTCTCATCGCGGCCTCGCAGCGACGCGGTCCGCGTGAGAAAGCGGGCCACGCGGCCCCCCGAGGAGGAGGACGTGGAGGTGGTGGTGGAGGTGGAGGAGGACGAGGAGAAGGATGAGGACGAGGCGAGGCGGCGCTGTATGCTGGCTCTCACGTGCGACATTCGCAGCTTGCCTTGCATGGCCAAAACTTGAGCGCACTGATTTTATACGCGTAAAATTTCGCTTTTTTTACTCTCGCTACGCGAGTTGAAAAACAATTGTACGTAGAATCGGAAGAAAAATATATTAATTGCCTACGTTATAAATTGGACGTGAGAAACAAAAATCTGACGGACTCGTTCAAATGTGCACGGAATACGACGTAAAACTCAGAAATCAATAAATAAAAGCCGATTTGCATTGACGTTCGTCAAGCAAAAAAATATTGCTAACAAAAATAAATACCGCCGATCTAATATTTAACAAAACATTTTTTTACCGACTAACGCTCGCGTTCAAACCGAACACGACAAAAAAAACAACGCTCGCTCAAGAATAAATACAAACGCAACAGATCGTGCGCTGGGCTACCGACACTATCCCTGACTTAACAACAACGGAGCTTCGCCAATCCGCCAAAACTCGCTTAAAGGTTGGCTAACGATCGAGGGCTGCCACAGCGGACGAGCGGAGCGGAGCGTTGCGCTCGTAGGCACGGGAGCCGGCGTGTGAGAGGCGAGCGTCAGAGCTCGCTGACTCCAACGCCCGCCGTGACTCACGCAGCAGAGCGTAAAAGTTCACTTCCTTCAATTGGACCTCGCACAAATGTACGAGGTGCAGGGTGGAGCCACGATAGAACTTGGTGGTGGTGGTGGTGGGGGGTGTTGGTGGCGGTGGTGACGGTGGGGTGGGGTTGGGTGCTTTCCAACAACAAAATAAACGATTACGCCATCGTTGACAGATTTGTCGACGTCATTCACAGCAGCAGCAGCAACGGTCGCTGTGGACAATGGTGAATGTATAACGTAAAAAGGTGTAAAACATATAATATAAAATAGGCAACCGACGGATAACAAACGCACGCTTACTGCATTAAAGGACTGCTGCCCCTCTTCTTGGTTCTTTCGGTAAAGTCACGTAGAAGGGAAATAATAAAAGAATGAAAATAAAACATAATAAAATAATTCTCACGACGTTTCGGCCACAACGCAAGCAGCCGTCTTCAGGTGAAGACTAGGTCTGTCGAGGAGACAGCTGTCTGAATGAAACACCACCACGCTTGGAGCGTCTATTTAAGCTGGGGACGGCTGCTTGCGTTGTGGCCGAAACGTCGTGAGAATTATTGTATTATGTTTTATTTTTATTATTTTATTATTTCTCTTCTACGTGACTTTACCGAAAGAACCAAGAAGATGAATCCCTGCAGTCACGAAAGCTGTAAATCGAAATTTGACTGATGACCCGTTGGGATATTTTTTTAGCCGGTGCCCAACTTTTCGGGGATACAACCAGACCCGTAGCGTCTGGCTGTCCGTCTATAACCGTGTGTGTGGGGGGGGAGGGGGGCTGTCACGATAAACTCTCGCACAGTTGATGGACTGTGAAATTAAATACGAGTTCAAAGTTGTGTTGATACTCCAGTGGAGACCTATCCTAGAGAACGCAATACTTGGTGATTTTTTTTTAAAAACCGGTTACAATAAGTTAGGCTTTCCGTCCAATGGCGCGTGACATCAGAGGTCACGTTTGTCGCTAATTAAACGCTGTATTTTGCGAGGACGCAATCACCTTTTTGGAAATCGTCGCAGAAACCCGTGGTGAGAGGCGTTGGTTGTTCTAGCCTCAGATGGTGCGTTCTCCCTTCACATAGCAGTCTCTCCGATGAGACGGTTGGCTACGTACGGTGCAAACGAAGTTCAACATACGTACGTACACAGGCATACACTCGTGACCGACATCGGGCCGGCCACCTTTTCCCACTGCGACCTCTTCTTGTGAAACCTCATGCCGCAGTAATCACGCAAAACATTTCAACACAAGGAAGACCTCTAGCAGGTCTCGTGCCGCACACCAATTCCTGCTGCCACTCCGAACGCGAATGACGCCAACACCCGGACCGTACCGGGTCACACCCGGACAGGAGACAATGCTAAGACTGACCTCTGCTCTCAGTGCATTGACACCGGTCCCCCCCCCTCCACTCAACACCCCACAATTCACCCGCAGCTTTGCGGCTGCAGGTGCTGCAAGCGGCAGGCCGCACGTAGCCCAGGTGGAAGGTGTTGAACTTGGCGGTCCAGCGATGCGTGACCGGTGCGTGTGTGTGCGTGCGGGTAACAGAGCTGGAGCCCGAATGAAACTTCACGGGCAAACGGAATGTTGGTGCTCCACTTTTTATGTACACACTGGACTCTCTTTATCTCTCCGTCGGTGAAAGCCCCTCCCGAGTTTCGGCCCAGCAGTGGTTTGACAAAAAGCGAGTACGTTTAACGGAATTTTTGTAACGTAGGGCGATGTTACATTGTCTTCACGACGACGACGTTTACCGCCATCATCAGCCATGGTCAATCCACTGCTGGATGAAGGCCGCATTAATCCAACGCCACCGGGAACCACGGTGTTAACAATCCACCCGGCACCTGCACACGAGGTTATTCCATCGCTCCATCTCCGCGTTCCCTCCCCTGGCTCCAGACTACGTCGTTAGCCTCGACCACCGTTTCATTCTCCCTTGCCAGTGACGTGTGCGGCCAAAACCCGCTTTTGTGAACGGTCAAAGTGACGTCTCAGGCTTGCGCGTACGCACGTGTACGTACGCACGTGTACGTATGTTGAACTTCTTTTGCACCGCACGTAGCCAGCCGTGATAATTAATCGGTGGTGCGGGAGGATGGACGACAAACCAAACACAAAAAAACAGTTCTAAAGAAATACATTTTCTATTCAGGATAGTGGTGTAGTGTATAGTGCAGTGTATTGTAGTGTATAATGCAGTGTATAGCGTAGTGTGTGTAGTGTATAGTGTAGTATGTACGTTAAACTTCTTTCGCACCGTACGTAGCCAACCAATCGCAGGTGCGTGAGAAAGGGCAACACAGCAAACACAAGAGGCAGTTCTAAACAAATGCCTGCCGCGTCCACGCTTCCGTCTGTCAGCCACTGGCGTGAAATGGGAGCAGCAAAACAAAGAACCCGCTGAAATGTGAGCAAAGAAGCGGCACACACTTGGAACTTCACCGAGAGCCAGACGCCCTCGCGAACTTCCCTTGGCGCACAGGGAAATTAAGATAATGCGAAATACGGTGAACGTCAAACCGATTCGGCGAAAACATTATTTGGCACCGTGGTTTTTTTCGCCCACCCCACTGCGAGCCCTGATCAGAAAACATAAAAAGGGCATTCCTGGATAACACCGCCTCCGTACCGAATTAGACTTGTCGCGACACGCCACAAAGCATTTGCCCGCTCGCTCAGACGGAGACCTCGGACAGAGAGGGAGAGAGGTGTGGGGGGCCACAGATGAGGAACCTGAAGTTCGATCCCAGGGCGAGTGATAGCTGGGCACCACCGTGGAGAGATGTTAACTACCTCGCCTGTTATACAGGAGGTCGCGGGTTCGATCCTGACCCTGACGCCTTTTGCTGTATATTTTGTGTTTGCGTGTCTCTCTCTCTCATCATCATCACGGTGGCTAGGAGATGCTAACTACCTCGCCTGGTATACAGGAGGTCGCGGGTTCAATCCTGACGCCTTCTGCTGTATATTTTGTGTTTGCGTCTCTCTCTCATCATCATCATCACGGTGGCTAGGAGATGTTTACTACCTCGCCTGTTATACAGGAGGTCGTGGGTTCGATCCTGACCCCGACGCCTTTTGCTGTATATTTTGTGTTTGCGTGTCTCTCTCTCTCATCATCATCACGGTGGCTAGGAGATGTTAACTACCTCGCCTGGTATACAGGAGGTCGTGGGTTCGATCCCGATGCCTTCTGCTGTATATTTTGTGTTTGCGTCTCTCTCTCTCATCATCATCATCACGGTAGCTAGGAGATGTTTACTACCTCGCCTGTTATACAGAAGGTCGCGGGTTCGATCCCGACCCCGACGCCTTCTGCTGTATATTTTGTGTTTGTGTGTCTCTCTCATCATAATCACGGTGGCTAGGAGATGTTTACTACCTCGCCTGTTATACAGAAGGTCGCGGGTTCGATCCTGACCCCGATGCCTTCTGCTGTATATTTTGTGTTTGCGTCTCTCTCTCTCATCATCATCATCACGGTAGCTAGGAGATGTTTACTACCTCGCCTGTTATACAGAAGGTCGCGGGTTCGGCCCCGACCCTAACGGCGGGATTTTTTTCCGGGTCATCCGGTTTCTCCCTCCACATGTAGAATCAACGTGTGTTTGTGGCCAGGTCGCTTCTGAAAAAGAGCTAAATAGCTCGGTGGGCCTTGCCTGGTGAAAATAAAAAATAAAAAAAAGTTTAGTTTTTTTAGAATCGGTTCTTAATGCCCCCCCACCACCACCTCTCCAACTCTCACTGACCAGCGTGGTGATGTATGGTCACACAAAACGACCACAACGACGCGGATGATAAAAAGAGAGGTCGCGTCACGATGGTGCGTACGAGCAAATGAAAATATCAAATCGCACGAACAAACCTCTGGATATTTCAAGGGAAATATCGATGAACGCCGATTTGGCACCGGTGGAGTCCCGATCCCTCGAGGTCACCGAAAGAACCCCGGAAAATCCCCACGACGACGTGAGGGGGTTAAACCCGGCGTTCCGCGTACAGTGCTGCCTGAAGCGAATACGTAGATAAACTATTTGTGGAATTTAATAACAATTACGCCACCCGACGACCTTCGCGATGACGCTTGAGCTTCGGGCGTAATCCGAGACTCGTGGAGAGAACCAAAACAAGGAGGCCACCGTCGCTGTCAAAAGAAACCACCCTCGCGGTGACGTTTCTACGAAGCAAGAAAAGGTATTTTAACAACAACCACCACTTTGTTGGCCACTTAATACGTGCGGCGTGACCTGGTGCGGTAGGCAAGGTGAAGCACGGGTGAGGGAGTGCCACGTCTGTCGATTGCATACGGACCCACGACTTCACTTTGCACGGCCCATAACTTCACCTCACATGGCCCATAACTTCACTTCACACGGCCCACGACTTCACTTCACAAGGCCCGTGAACTTCACTTTATGTGGCTCGCCGTCACCTGAAGCCAAACGGCCCACAAACGATGATAAACTAAAACTAAACTATTATTATTTTACCAGGTAAGGCCCACTAGAATCTCTCCAAAGAACATAAAAAGCTCTTCATCAAAAGCGACCTGGCAACAAATGATAGCTTAACGAAGTGGCTTGTCACGTGGACATTTCTAGCAGCCAGATACTCTAAACGCGTGATGTTCATCCGAAATGTGGAGGGGGAAAAACCGGAGGACCCGGAGAAGAATCCACGCGACCACGGGGAGAGAGAGACGCAAACTCCAAATATACAGCAGCAGGCGTCAGGGTCGGAATCGAACCCACGACCTCCTGCATACCAGGCGAGGTAGTTAACATCTCTACGGGGAGAGACACGCAAACTCCAAATATGCAGCAGGAATCAGGGTCGGAATCGAACCGACGACCTCCTGTATACCAGGCGAGGTAGCTAACATCTCTACGGGGAGAGAGACGCAAACTCCAAATATACAGCAGCAGGCGTCAGGGTCGGAATCGAACCCACGACCTCCTGTATACCAGGCGAGGTAGTTAACATCTTGCATTATAACCGCACGTCTAACTTCGGAACTGTAACTCGTCATCGC